GGGTGTGAGGTGTGCGTAGTGGTTTAGAAGTGAGGGTTAGAGGTGGAGTGGGAGAGGGATGAGGGGGCAGGGGGCACACAAAAGTGCTTGCCCTTCAAAGCCCGTGCGAGTATCACTCAACGAGACGCACAGCATCGAGATACACGTATGTGTTAATTTGCGGGCACGCATATGTTTCGTTATAGTTTCCTACGTATATAAATATCTACAGACATACATACATGCATACAAACGTACATACTTGATAGGCATGTATAAGCATGTATCTGTGTATATACATATCTCAAAGTTTACCTGTTCGTGCGCTGGAAGCTGTGAACTGTGAGCTGTAAGCTGAGAATTGGGCACGCACTGAACACATTTTTGAATCTGTATGCGAGTGTATTTGTGAATGTGTGTGTGTGTGTATGTGTGTTTATCTTTGTGTCTGTTTATTGAATTGTAAACATTTTAACGCTGCATTTAAATAATCTTCGTGCTGCCACAGCAGATGATCTTCAAGCCATTAATATAAACATTGAGATTGGGGCGAGCTGCGTTTTTAGTTAGCAGAGTGCAGAAATAAAGAAATGCGGCTTTTAAAGTGCACTTAAAAGCTAAAGTCATATAAATTACAACAATAATAATAACAAGTCGGCACATTTTTCCACACGTACGCGATGCGATGCTGCGGCTTTGATAGCTCCATGGGCTTTATTTTATTTTTTTTAGTGCTTTTCTGCTTCATTTTTTTTTCTTTTTTTTTGCAGCCTAGCCCGAGCAAGGTATAGAAGCTATCGACGCCTCATATCTCCCAGCTGTCCATGTACAGCCAATGAACGTGTGAAAAGTCAATCTGCATGTGTGTATATGTATGTGTGTGTAAATGTGTGTATGTGTGTGTGAATGGCAGCTGATTAACACGCTCAACCATCTCAGACAGACAAGCAGCAAAGTCTAAAAGTCTAACCGTCGATCCATTCGTCGCCGTCTTCGTCGTCCTCCTTCTCCTTGGTCCATCTTGTCCGCCCGTCCGTCCGCTCGCCCCTCGCCTGTTGACGAACTTTCAAAGATCAAAAGGCTATCGCTCACATAACAGGCATGGCCAGCATACACACACACAAACGTACAGCAACTTAAGCGCAGTTGAATGCGCATTATTTAGCACCACAGTTCCCGCCCCACTCCCCCCCCTCCCCTCACCCCTTCCTCAACTTGCCATCAAGCGTTTTTATGCATATTTCCATGTGCCATAGATCGGTTAATAACGCTTCGGTTCAAAGGTAATATGCGCAGAGAAATCCACAACTCTCTAACGGTTTCATACAGTCTAGATACTCTACAATAGATTCTGAGATAATTAATTACTCGTAGCTTTCCAAATTGCTTGTAGATCGTACAGGAAGATATATGTATGTACTGTGAAGCGAGTCGGTTGGTAATTTGGGTAAGAAAGACTCTTTATGGATTCAAAGGATTGAAGAAGAGCACTTAGCTACAAATTCAAAGAAAGGGAAGGCTCTGAGAACAAACAGAAGACAGACTCATATTATTTTCAAATTGTTGCTTTGTTTAATTGCCCTAAAAGGACAATTATTAAATTAGTTCATGTGCCTTTAGTAGTGACATCTTAAATGGGGCTTCGAAGATTAGAATTAAATGTTATTTGAAGGAGTCTAGTTGACCCCGAAGATCAAGCGGGTGAAGTCTTTTGAGACGTGTATGATGCAAGAATGTTTAAGTGAGCTGAGAGCCGCTGGAAGAAAACAGACTAATCAAAATAGTGCCAATTCAAGCCTTTACTAATTTGCCATTGATAGCATGTTCTTCTGTTCAGCATTGGTTCAGTCTGGAAGAATGCGATGAGCTCTTCAAGAAATCTTAAGTAGACCTCCTAAAGCAAAGCTGCAACTTCAATTGGAATAGGAATTGTAATACCAAACCATTTTACTTAAAAATAACTTCTGAAAAACTAAAAAGCTTTTGGCATCCTTAGAATGAAAATTATAGTGTTGTCTTGAAAAAGCATTTACAAGTAAATACATACATACATCTACAAGTATAAAAATGTTCTACAAATCACTGCACTATCTTCTCATTTGTGTTAGGTTTTATCTTAATGGTGCTCCACTGTACCACTGTATCTGTATGTATGTATGTATGTATGTATGTATGTATGTATGAATGTAATTTAGTGCAATAGGACACGCTTGGGTCCATAAATTTTCGATGCGCTTGCTCTGATTGAAATTAATGGCATTTAGCGTTTTATGTGCTGAACGATGTGACAAGAAGACGGCATTAAACCAACAACAACAACAAGAACAAAATGCTATAGAATGCAGCAACAGCAAAAATAAAAACAACAAAAAAAATCAACCAAATTATCTTCAAAAAATACAAATGCAGAAGCTGCTGCTCGAGAGAAACGATAAACAATAAGAGAAAAGAGATGAAGAAAGTGAGAATGACAGCTCACCCATGGAGCATGTGCCATGAGCGGCAAATGAAGTCCAAGGTGTGGAATCTATACACAGACATATGTACATATGTATATAATATAGGAATGTTCAGATACTCACAAATATGCTTAAGTCTTAATAATCACGAATTTCAGCTTAAAAATATCACATTCGTCAGTTGAAGTATAATATCATGATGATGATGTTTTTTTTTTTTATATGGGGGTGTAGGATTTAGGGAGATGTTCAGCTTGTTTTTTATTTTCAATTCCCCGCCTTTGAGGTCATCAGCAAAATACTAAGTACTTGTATATATACATATATACCATATATATTGGGCAGCCAGTGCGGGTCATTAAGATAAAGCAGCTTCAATATACTCGCACATACATAAGTATATTTTAGACAGTAAGAACACTTATTATTTGGCGTGTCAAGTTAAAAGTTTTATTATCATTACAGTTCTTTGTGCTTCCCTTTCACTCTCTCTTTCTTCGAGATAAGATGCTGCAGAGTTCTGATTTGGTGGCTTATCAGACACTTATCAGGCAGCAGCCCGCAAAACCAAGAAAAACCCGAAAGTGTCGAAACATTTTATGTTCAAACTTTACTCTACCATATGTCAGTATATTAATGTATGTACATACATACATATATATGTGTACTATCTACCTCAAAGTTATGAAACTGTCTGACGGCTAAACTGATGTCAGAAGCGTTTACAATTATTTCACGGCTCATTATTTCCGGCGCGCTTGCGCATTGGCATTGAATTCTCCCCAAGAGACATACTCGTATGTATGTATGTATGTGCATGTACGAGTATATATGTATATGTACGACTATATCCATATGTCACTGTCCGTCTGTCAGGGTCGCAGTGAGCGACTTTAAGTCGTTTGCAACACCGGACGTGCGGCATTGCACCCAAATCTCAATTTACATTCCCAATGTGAGCGACGGAAGCGATACACACACATCTGCATATATATATGTACGTATGTATGTATGTACGGAGGAATAGGCAGCAAGAAGAAAAAGTTGAGTCAGTCTTCAAGATTTAACATTATCCAATCGTAATATTGATTGGTTAATTAAATTCCTTTTAAAAAAAATGTCCAACTTACTAGAAATTTAGAAAAAAAAAACAAATTTACAATTCCAACATTATGGAGGATATTTTAGAATTATTTGCCTGATTCCTATTCTCGTCTACACAAGAAATGAATTGAGAAGGTAAAGTACAATAATCAGAAGCAAGCATTGAGAGTTAATTTCAAACTAATTTACTCAGGATTTGTTGAAATTCAAACTGACTTATATGATAATACAAATTGCTGATTCTTTTCATTTTCTTAAACTCAGAAATCAATGTAATCCTTCTGGTATGTCTGGATCAAAATAAACCAATTTCAAAAAGCAATTAAGGGTGCTTTAGTTCTTAAATTTATGTCTTTCTTTTACGAATAAATTCAATACCGATAGTGATATCAATCAGACTCTCAGACCGCCAAAAAATGCATACAATCAGACGGAATTTCGACGATGTCGTCGAACCCAGACATTCTGACATGCATGCATCGATAGCTTCTTTTCAGAAATTTTCAATAAAAAAGTCTGAGATACTTGTGTAATATTGATTCCAGAAATAAGAACAGCTTTAAAACGAATGGTAATTTTCTGGCCTGCATCGTCCCAGTTGTCCCAAAAGGGTTAAAATCAGTTCCTTTTTGGAAACAAATTACTTTTAATCCAAGAAAAGGAAGCTTAATTGGTAGAAAAGCATGCACAAGTTAATAAAAGCAGGTCTTAATTGAAGAAAATATGGTAAGTATTTATTACTAAGATGTCAAGATTTAGAAAATATTGTTTTTGTCTTTTTAATTAAGGAAATAGTTCTTAGAAAAATTAGTGTATATTTTTTGTTAAACAGAATTCCAGTGCTAAATGATGAAATTATGAAGTTTTTCTTTTTTTTCGCTATTTGTTTTTTAAGAACCTTTTCTAGGAGGCGAAGATGAAAAATTTCAATACTTTAAAACTCCCTAGACATACATAAAGCCTAAAAAGGTGAGGAAAAAAAATTAAAGTATTTCTTGAGGTATTAGAAAAAGTTTATCATTTTCGTTCAACAGTTTGGAAAACATTGCTTTGTAGAAAACTAAATTTTACATGATGGGACATTATTTCTGAGTAAACTTTGGAAGTGGTAATAAATTTTTAGGTGTTGGAAAAATGTAAAGTTAAAATTTTTCCTACACAAAATCTTGTATATTATATCTCGAATGGGATGAACGTGTCTTGCATAATTTAAGTGTTCCTAATATTTGTACAAGAAATATTTATAATTTGAAGTAACTTTTTTTTAAGATCATTATAGTATAATCAGAAAGAAAACACTACTTTATATTTCCTTCACATTAGTGGCGAAGCTTATGGAGATATAGCTGGAAGATCTATATAGCATGTATTGTTCAATTTTAGATTTCTGATATATATATATATATATAGTATTTATGTAGATATATGTCTATAGTTGCAGTTTGGATTTGTACTTACGAATTGAAGTTGGAAAAGTCGTTGCGCGTCTTGTGTAGGGCGATGCTGAATCCAAACATTGAGTTGGGGGCGTGCCGATGTCTCACATAGCTGGGCAGATCGATGTTATAGCTCTGGATGGATTGCAGCAAACATAACAGCAGCGCGATCGCTAGCATCATCATTTTGCTTGTACTTCTACTCATCTACTGTGTAATATTTGTTGTGTTCCGCTCGATTATTTTTCTTTTATTTATTTATTAAATTCAATTGAATTGAATTCAATTTATTTTGTTGCTCCGTCTTGATGGCACTGTTTTTTGTAATTTTCTTTTATATATTTTTTCGATTAATTAAAAGATGATTTTTTTTTTAGTATTTTCGCATCATTTTCGTTGCTTCAATTGCTGTTGCATGGATGGAGGGTTTCGTTAATTGTAATAAAATGTTGCACACAAACACACGCAAACAAGTGTACAATTTATTGTTAATTCTTTTTTGCTTGTGATCTCAACATTTTCTCGCATATGCGATCGTTGTTGTTGTATTTGCTGCTGTTCTTGTTGTTGTTGTTGTTGTGTTGATTTTCATTTAATTTTATTTTTTTTAACTGTCGCGACGCCACCAACACTACGACCTTGGCCGAAATGACTTCAATACAAATACTACAACAACTACATATAATAAAAAACTTAAAGCGCTTGTCTCAGCGAAATTACAAAAACAACGCCAACAAGTGTGCGTGCGCCGATGTGTGTGTGCGTGTGTGCGCGTGTGTGTGTGTCTGCGTGTGTGTGTTTGTGTGGCAAAAGAACAACAGACGCGCGCACAACACACCAGCAATTTGAAAAAATCAAGTTTTGTTAAGAAAGAACCAAAAAAAAAAAAAAGATACGATATTTTCCAGCTAATATTTAAAGCTTGTTTAGTTTTTTGGCGCGCTCACAACAACAACAACAACAACATCGACCAGAAAAAGAACCAAAAGCAATGGAATCGCTCAGCTTCAGATTCTTTAGACACTCTATTCTGTCGACTGCCGCATTTTTGTCATTATCTTGCTGACGTAACGAGCCAAAAAGAAATCTCTCAAAAAGCCACAAAAAAATGAAATCACTTCGAAACAAGTTACTCAAATAAATAAAAGCAGAGACTACAAAAGAATTCGATGCAAACTTTGCAAAGCCAGCAACCAACAATGATAAGTAGTCGCCAAAGCGGCTATGGGAGATGCAGAGTATAGCGTGGGCGGCCAAAGCCTGAATTGTGGCACTCAGGTGCAACTATTACATACTATATATAGTATATAGTAGATCATATCTGTAATGTCTCTCCCCTAAGCAGGCGTAGGTAGTTAGTAGCAGACGAGGTTGGTTTCAATTAAAACGCTAAATTATATCGCAACAGTATAGAAGAGACAGTGTTCACAGTTTTCAAATGCAAAAAGCTAATGACTACCCTGATGTAGTTAAGCAATTATTTTGATAAAAGTTAAGCAAAAGCTATTGTGCCTACACATATATAAAGAATTTAACAAAGCAATTCTTTAATTTTGCAATTCATTAAATTGCTCCAGATTCCTTGAATTTGACTTGGAATTTAAAAAAATATGCTACTTTTAATTTCATTTTATACTAAATAATTGATATAAGAAAAGCTACACGTTTTCTATGAGGTGCGTAAGTAAATCTAATTGAACCTCGATTATTCGGAACTCTATTATTCACTAGGACCACCTGTTAATTGGGATGCTGAGCGCTTGATTGAGATGTCATTTATTTTTAGAAATAATGATAATATTTAGAAATCATTAAATCTTTGAATACATATAAAGACACCTATGACTTGGAGGGATCCCACAGTTTTTTAGAAACGTTTCGAATATTTTTCTACAATCTTTTTATGTTACAAATAATAACACTGTCTGATGCTATCCCAAGGTGAATAAAATGCAATGTTGATATCCCACCGTTTGCTATTATATCTGAAGATGAAACCATGATTCACCAAACCCAAGTGAAGAGTTTGGCTCTAATCCCAAGCAAATCGGATAAAGCAAATATGGAAACACACTCACAACAGATCCCAGTAGAGTTCTTCAAAAATGTTGACAAGCCAACAATTGTCCAGATATTTCACAGCCACACAAACTAACTTATTTAATTGCAAATCAAATAAAAGCTAAAGACTAAACCATCGTTTCAATACTAATAACACAATAATTGGCCCCCTTTTCAAAGGAAGAACTGGTTGCAAACTGGAGGAGAGAAAAAGAATTTCGATATGTCCATCAATAAGCGATTTAAGCATGATTTTGAGAGTTCTTTAAATTACAAAATGGCTCTACTGATAATCCAATATATGAGTATGTTTTCTGATTTCTTGAAAGTGTGGGCAATTGCCAATTGAGTAGGAGGGGCATGATGACTTTTGCTCTGCAAAATTAGAAAACCAAAAATATGTTGTGTGTGTGCAAAAAAATAAATTTGTGTGTGTGTGTGTGTGGGCGCCATAACGACATTTCATTCATAGACAAATACATACAACACAACTATACATATATACATATGTATGTATGTATGTGTGTGTGTGTGGCAATTTAAAACGAGTTGAAATTGAATTTGTTGCGCGCCATATGGCCAACTAAATGACTGAATATCGAATGAATGACTGACTGATGGACGGACGGACGGACGGACCGACTGACTGACTGGCCGGCTCTCTGTTAGTCCGATTCGATCGGTTTTTTTTTTTAATTTTGTTGTTGTTGTACTGAGACGGTCAACGAGACGCTACAACTCATATCTAGATACATTTAGTATCCGCCTCTCTGTCTTTATGTGTGTGCGTGTGTATGTGTGTGGCATTAATATGCAGACCCACGTCTTGGCCCACACATACATACTATAACACATATGTATGTGTGTGTGCGTGTGTGTGTGTGTGAATATTTAGTCAAAAAAGAAACAACACAATTGAAATGACACTGAACCGAACAGCGGCTGTGCTAATAAATTCGTAAAAAATTCTCAAAGCGAATCTTCCAATAACATGTATTTTTTAACGGCTGGACGGCAAGACGCGCTCAGCTTTCCAAATTTTGCAATAGTCCAATATATATGTATAGACGTATATAATTTTCTGTGTAACGGTAAACACACACACTCACGCACATACAGAGCTGGTAGCTCGCAATGATCACAATCTTTTAAAAATAAACGCTTATGTGGATGTGGATACAACTACATCGACGGACGAAACGCTTTTGCCGTAGATACTCAGAACTGAGAGATTTGTGTAGAACGCATACAGATAGAACGGACCAACTAACGCACAGCCCATTGGCGCCCAGCATCCAACAAATACTTGTATATACAAACAAACAAGAAAAAAAAAACAGAATGTACAAAAATATACACAATTCCAGAGATATTGACAGTGCGGGTCAGAGAAATGGAAATGGAAGCACATTAACCAAATGAGCTCCAAGTTTATGGAAGTAGAACGTTTTCTTTCAAACTAATTGAAAAACAAAAATTTTACAACTAATTTTAGGGTTAAACAAACGATATACAAACGAAACAAAATAGAAAACCCAACTAATCGAAGCATACAGCTGCCTAGACAATGCTTAATAATATAACGAATATCGAAGCTATATACCTAGATCTGGTCTAACGTACCACTTGGTACCACAGTCATACACGAACATATTTGAAACTCGCTGGGCTTTCTTACCTAAAAAATCATATCTATTATATTTTATGCCCAATCCTTTAAGTGGATTTTTAGTTAATTAATCAATTCATTAATTTCATATTAATGTAACACATTCCTATTCTAGTGCGCCCCATTGTGTTGTTATAAAAAAGTACATATGGTATACATATACGATTTTACGTTTCTACACATATATATGTACATATATGTATATAGAAAGACAGCATCTTGCTGAGGTGTGCATTAGTCATCGCCCAGAGTTTAAAAATACCTACATCTGACAAATTTTCAGGCACACTCATTTAAACAGGCGGGCACAATCAAAGGGGTTTTCTGCTATTTCGTAAAATCTCAAAAAAAAAAATACAAGTTCTACCCACAGTTAATATTTTGGAAAACCTAACAGCCTATAAAGTAATAAATAAAATGTTCTCTAATTTAACATTATTATAAAGTAAAAACTTTAAAGTTTCAAAATTACGAGGAATAGGTTAAGGTGATGGAAATCATTATAAGAAGGAAATCATATTCTTGTTGTAAGGGTTTTATTTAATTTCTCATATATAGTACAAATGTACAAATTTTAAACTGAAAATGCAGCTTACTGGCCGACATAAGAATATAAAAAAAAATGATTTATGAAATAGTGGCTAAGCATCAATGGCGATTGTGAAATGAATACGAAATCTATACAACTTTTTACTATATGGCCAAAATAAAAACTTCAGAAATAATAAAATATCGATCAGTGCAGAAATCAGACAAAGTACCAACAACTTTTTTGTTCAACGAAATTTATGAACCAAAGTTATATTAAAATCGGTGCACCATATCATCATATAGCTGTCATACGAATGACATCACAGTTTATATTAGTTGAATGGCGGCAGCGTGCAAAAGTGTGGGTACAGAGTACTCAAGAGTCGGTCTAAAATACGACTTTAACAATCCACTCGTTTTTCTCTCCGTCTATGCGCCTTTTATCGCGGAATGTAACTTAAGCTCTACTCCACAAATGTGGCAAAATATGCCAACTATAAATTGGAAGTTCACAATAAACAGGTACGACTGTATATTAAAGATCATAATTAAGAGCGCCAAATGTTTAGCGGCTGCGTGTATATATAGTTTCACGTGTGTGTATTTGTGTGAAGGTTAGAGTTGTTTGAGCGCACGAAACATTTTATTTTCAGTCATGATTATAATATTTTTTTTTAGCACCAAAAACTGTCGTTGCCATCTCTAAAACAAATATTGACGGCACAGGTGATGGCTTTATGCAAATTACATTCCACTAACTAAATAAATAAAGAAAAAAATAGATTCATACGTAACGCCCGTGCCCGTATTTTAGACGTACTATGTACATGTACGTTCGGCAGCGTTCTCGGAGCTCCCAACACGGCGGATAGGTAACGAAAACTGAAGATTGTATCTCACGTTGTCTCTCAGATTGTCTTTACGCGAACACACAGATACACACACACACACAGATGCACACACACACACACACACATATGTATTTAGACGCTTCGCGGCTACCACCTACTCAGAGATCGGTGGCGAATGGCGGGAAGAAGGGGGGATGAGCTGAAAATGCCAAAACTAAACATTGATAGCAAAAACGAAACTAAAATAATTTTCATTAGTTTCTGCCTTTTTTTTCTTTCGATTTCTGGTTATGTCTTATGTTTTGTTTTCGTATTCTCTCCATGTAGTTGTTGTTATTTTTGTTGTTATTGTTGTTGTGTGTGGGCAACAAATCTAGCATATATGTATAGCTACGAAGTAAAGTGAGTGGGTCGGAGCATATGGCATGAAAGATGTAAGTAATTTCCGTTACTCTGCAGCAAATTAAAAGCTAATTTCAAAACATTGGCCCCGAGTCGAAAAGAAGTGCATTTTTTGTGATAAAAATCCATACTTAAGGAAATACTTGTATGTATGTTCAAAGAGCTAAATAAGAAAATATACCGCGAATTATGTGTATTTTCTTAAACATTTATGGCCCATATACAAGTATGTTACACGCCCACACACACACACACATATACCCACATTAGGCGTCTATATATGTTACACTTTTATGTACACTAAAAACACCAATTTAAACAAATTTTTTAGCACGAAATCAGATTAATTTTTCGCTGTTTCTGTTAAGTGTAACTTTTGCCCTGGTTGTTCCGATGGCAGCTAAAAATATAGTGATTCCATTCAATATACAGTGAGACATTACTAAAACAAAAAATAATAATTAAATATAGTATTTAAAAAAAATATTTCACTAACTGACATTTTTTCTCTGATCGTGCCCGCGGCAGCTATATAACATATTCAGGCTTTATTTGATCTTTAATAAACCTGATCTGCGTATGGATAGGACAAGTCTGTATGGCTGGCCTGGTGTCCCTAGCTGTCGTGATTCAAAAGTTATAGGGGTTCATACAGACGAACATGGCTATATCAATCGTATGTATGTAAACGATGCTTGTTTAATCTTCGTGGCATATTCGTTCATCTTTCAGGTGCATTAATTATAAAGAAAATAAACAGTTGGTAAATATCACACATACGCCATATATGGCGTGAAAAGTTGCAATTGTTTGCATTAGGAATTGTAAAAAGTTATGACAAAAATGCAAATTTGTTTACAACTGCAATAACAACAATTCGCGTATCAAGCATCATCTGACAAAGGCAACAATCGCGCAAGTCGGGCAATATTATACTGTCGGCGAGATCTGAATGGCTGGCAAATTATTTATAGTGCGGTCGGTCGGGCGTTTGATATATTTCAATTTTTTTTCTTAATCACTTGCACTTTTTCATCACTTTCTTCATTTCGCTCTCTCTCTAGCTCTGTTTATCAATTATATTTAAAAAGAAAGCAAAAAAAATATATAAATCTGCCGATAGTAAATTTTTGTTAATTTACGTTACGTTGTAACGGTAAATTCAATGTTTAGTAACAAACCTAACGCGCACAACTGTTGCGTCTGACTGTAAATACGCAACTGAATGATAAAGGGGCTTTATTTGTGTTAGTTGGTCGGAAACAGTGTTGCCAACTCTTTAGATGGAAAAAACTGTTTTTGACGAGAAGGAGGATGAAATAAAGCAAAAATTTTTACCAAAAAAGAGTAATAAAAAGCTACATTTATTTGTACAAGAAATGTATCTTCCAAGGTTTTTTTTTATCACCTTGGTGAACATTTCAAATGATATTTACGCATTTAGATTTGTGTTCTCGTATGCACCTTCAAAAAAGGTCAATCTGCGCTATTGCTGTATGCTGAGCAACAATTAGGCACAGCGCTGCTTCTAAACGTATTTTTAAAAAGCCACATTTAAAAAAGCCGCTTTCCGCAATTTCGAATATTTTCCCGCTTTCATTTCAAAAACAACATTTGACGGGAAAAAATCCACAATGGCTACACTGGCCGCAAATCTAGGGTTCCACAACAACTTATCTTCGAGTAGCTATCGATTACAATCGACTAAAATGAACTTATCATTTTTCAACACTACGCTCAGCTGTGGCTGCTGGGCAGGTTACGCGATTGGCACGCACTTCGCGTTGATTTCTTTAATAAATTTTTCAAAAATTATTTAAATATATAAACCGGTCATCCATACTTAGGCAGAATGCACAAAATGTTCAAGCAATTCGGCCAATTGACGCTGCACTCTGCAAATAAGTTGCCAACAACAGCAACGACGACACTCCTGGCCACCTGCAAAATACTCTCCCCCGTCACCGCCCCATTGCTAAGTAATGGAAAAGATTTGCACACGGCAGCCAGCGCTGGCGGAACTGGAGCCCTTTGCAGTAAATGGAATAAACATAATCATGGACCACGCAAGTGGCTGGAAAACAATAAAACTGTGCATCCGCCACAAGAAGTGGATGAGGAGCCCCGCAAAGCGGTGAGTTCCCATTCATTACAACCAGAGATTAGAAATCGTTGGCTTTATTTCACAGTAAATTGCATATTTATCAAATGTGCATATATTTGACTTAATCTAGCCCATTTCCATTCGATAAATGACAGTAGATACGTCTAATCTTCTCCTGATTTTACAGTATGTTTGCCATATGCGCACCAACATTAAATATAGCCCTGATAAGATGTGGTATATTGCCGCCTTTGTGCGTGGCATGTCTGTGGATGAGGCGTTGAAGCAATTAAATTTTGTGCTCAAAAAGGGGGCCACAGATGTAAAGGAGACCATTTTGGAGGCCCAGGAGATGGCTGTGCAGCGTCATAATGTGGAATATAAAAGCAATTTGTGGATAGGTGAATAACCAGCAACTCCCATATACTTTCCATTAAACTCAACTAACTCGAACTTATTTTTCTCTGAATTTTAAGCTGAGTCGTTTGTCGGCAAAGGTCGTGTCTTCAAGGGCATCCGTCGCCATGGACGTGGACGGTTTGGACGTGTAGAGTACAAGCATTGTCACTACTTTGTGCGTCTGGAGGAAGGTGAGCCACCAGAGCATTATTATTTGCCGGAGCAACAGACGCCTCAGCAGCAATATGATCATTGGCAAGAGCAAATGCGCAGTCGCAAGATCATCAATTCACTGTAAACCACTTTGCGACTGCCGTCCTTCTATCCTGCCACGCCCACCCACTCTCTTTTGTAGTGCGTTTCAAAATGTGTGTCTATTACAAAAAATTTTGTTTATTAAATACATGAAAATGAAAGCTACACGACTTCTTCCTCGTCCTGTAGCGTCTCAGTTAATAGCTTCTCTATGGCCATTTCATCTTTATCAGTATCATCTTCGCTATCATTACCGCCGACCTCTTCATCTTCTGTCAACGGCTGAGGCATCTGCAGCTCCAGCTGACGAGCTACATTGTCCAGAATCGATACGTCACGAGCACGAACTCGCCCATCCACTTCCTTCTCAAGCACTAGGCCAGACAACTTGGATAAGTTTGATTTAATGGGCTTGCCAGCATCCTTACGTTGTTTACGTTTAATCTTTTTGGGCGGTGGCTCTTCCTTGAGCTTTTGCACTTGTCCAGTGTTCGGATGGTCCCTTTTCAAGTGCTTGGCCATGTTTTGGGCGCTGCTGAAGCAACGTCCACAGTTGACAGCCTGGCACTCAAAACGTTTTCCCACATGTGCTGTGAGCACATGTTGGCGCAGATTGCGTTCATAAGCATAGGCCCGGGTACAATTGGGTTCCTTACAAACAAACGGTATTGCTGAGCCCATCTCGTCTCCTTCTTTTGAATGTTTAGCGATTACATGCTTACTCAAATCACTGGGCTTGTCATAACAGCGATCACAGTGCCCGCACTTATGGCGATTACGGCCGTGTTGAGTCAAACGACAATGTCGTTGGTACTGCGACCATTTTTCAAATTTAAGCGTACAATTGTCACAGGAATACAATTTGCAGCTCCGTTCATGACTCTCCTGCTGCCATTTCTGATAGAAGCCTCGGCTGCATTTGCCACATCTGTATGGATAATCCTGCGTGTGTTTTGTGATCTCATGCCGGCGCAGCTTTAACTTTTGTGTGAATTTCGCTTCGCAATAGGCGCAAGAGTATTCACGTGGATGCTCGTGAGCCTCTCGCACATGACGCTGCATATTGCTGGCGGAGGTAAACATCTTGTCGCATTCTTCCAGCGCGCATTTCACCGTCTTTTGCGCGGCAGAGTCGGGACGCTCGTGTGTGGTGCGGAGGTGACGCTTTAAATGCGTGATAATGGTGTAGATTTTGTCACAGCCATCGTAAAAGCAGGCGTGCTTTTTCTGTAAGACATGTTGGGTTGATTAAATCTGGTTAATATCGTGCTCTTTTCACTTACAACGCCCGTATGGTGATATTCATGGCGATCCAATTGATCCAGACGTTTAAACTTTTCATCGCAGCCGGCAATGCTGCAGGTATATTTTGGTCCTGTGCTGTCGCGACGTGTTTGTCGCAATTTAAAATCCTGCAATACGCTCTCTAAGTCGCTGTCGGACGTTATTTGGACGTCAGGCGGCATTTTGCTACAATTCTATTAAAACAAACACAAACGGCTCCCAACACAATACACAACGTGCTCCTAATTAAATTGTTATTTTTGCATCAGCTGACAAACACGGCTGCCAGACAGCTAGAATTTGGAATATAACAGCACTGTTTGTGACCTAATTATATATATACATATACTATATTATGTTTTACACGGCATCAACAATGTTAAACCATGTTGTCTTTAAATTCGTTAATAATAATTTTATTTAAATAGGCTTTTCCGTAATCTAAGTAATTTTATATAAGTATCGAATATCGACTAATAGAGAATGTTAAAATCCAGTTAAAAAACAGGGCTGCAGTTAAAAAGTCGTCAACGTACTCATTCGAATTATGGCTTGTAAAAATCATAATGCTACTAGTCATCCACATCGGCATATGGAAACTCAACGCCTGCATATTTATTTATTTAGAAAATCAGCAAATAGTGTTGTTGATACAAATACGAAAACTATGATTTAAAATATATTCATATGGTATGCAGCAGGACTGAAAAATGGTCGAGGATCGTCTGTCACATCAGTCAAGGGTCGCATCAGATGCCTGACTATATCAACTACTTATATTTTGCATGAAATATATATACATGTTCCAATATGCTTTATCACGAGAAGATCCAATTCGTAGCGACTTAAATTGTATGATCGAAATACGGTAATAGTTTGTCGAAGAAGATCTCAAAAGTTAGGGAACGCTTTCATTTGTTTTGTAAGTCAGATTTTCGGACTATACCAGGAATGGGCTAACTGAAAATTATGAACTGAAGCGCATCCTCCTGCAGTATTGAGGGCTTTTATACACACATCGTCATGGCATCTGAAAAATAACTTAAATTTTTGTTCCTGTTACACTTTGAGAGTATACTGATGAGATCATATTAACGACTGGTACAAATGAGCAACAACTAAATACATCTACATATTTTTCAAACGTGAATAACAATTTTTTTTTAAATTGTTAAGTTGCGCAATAGCACGATGATAGTAAAGGACTAACAGAATGATTTAAATTCAGGGACACATTGCCATATCGCGTTATAGTGCTATCGATTACTGTATCAACATCAGCTGGCCGATGTTAATGTCGATATCACTTTTTCGATAAGTACTTTCAGTAGTAATCAGTATAGTTGTAAGCTTAAAGTATATAAAAACGAAATTCAGATTCAGAGCAACAAACAAATAGCATATAATTAAAATAACATGGAATATGAAAGTGTGCTGATTGTGAAGCCTGAGGTGTTTATATACAAAATACCGCCGCGCGCCAGCAACAGAGGATATAGGTGAGTCAATATATGCCTCCGTGCTCGTATCTGTGTGTGAGTGCTTGTGTCCGTGGCCAAAATAAATGGTGCTATTATCTTTTTGTTTTGCATTTTTAATCTGTGCTATTGCAACTAAAAGTTTTGGAGACGCCCCCATGGCAAGCACATCGAAATCTTCAGTGCTCGCGGATGTGGGCGTGTGTGAGTGTGCAGCAGCCAAGGTTAAAGACACGACGACTATGCGTTTTTGTTGTTGTTGCTGGTTCTGCTTTTGAAGTTCAATTCCAATTGATTTTTACTGCAGCTGGTTTTTCACCGCTGCTTTTCATTTTTCTTAATTGCTGTTGTATATTCAATGTAAACGTATGTATGTACGTATGTACATATACATATACGCATATAAGTATGTTTGAATGTGTGTATATTATTGTTGAGCTTTCACGTAGCTGCTCTTGCGGCGGCTGTTATTAACTTTCTTTGTGTGTTTTTTGTTTCATGAAATGAAAAATAACTATAAACAATAACTAACCAAGTTCAAGTGCAAGTGAGCGATAACTATTGTTTCTTTCGTTGTATACCTACAGAGCAGCCGATTGGAATCTGAAAGAGCCCACCTGGACAGGTCGCATGCGTTTGGTGGCCAAAGGGACAGCATGCATTTTGAAGCTGGAGGATAAGTCAAGTGGAGCGCTCTACGCCAATTGCCCCATCGATACATATCCCGGCGTGGCCATCGAGGCGGTGTCGGACAGTTCACGTTACTTTGTTATACGCGTCCAGGACGACAATGGACGATCGGCATTTTTGGGTCTGGGCTTTGGCGATCGCTCGGACTCCTTTGATTTGAATGTAGCGCTGCAGGATCACTTCAAATGGGTAAAGAACCAAGAACAAATCGAAAAGGAGAAAACTGAACCAAAGCAGGAGCTCGATCTGGGTTTCAAGGAGGGCGAGACGATCAAAATTAATATGCGCATAACGGTGAGCAAACAAGAGATATAAGCACAAACGCACATATATCTCGTAGAAGTATCTACTGAGATTGGAAATTTTCCATCTGTTGCAGTTAACTTTTGCACTCCAGAAAACATGTTTTCTAGTCGCAAACATATCACTAAAGATTAGCTCTCTTACTTTTTTTTATTAATAACTTAAGCGCCATTGACTAATAATGCATTTCTCTTTTATGCTCTGCAGAAAAAAGATGGATCGGAAGGCACCTCGCGCACTGGAAAAGGCAAAGGTGTGGGTGGTGTATTGCCACCGCCACCCGGCGGTCTAGGAAAAATTGCTCCTCCGCCTGCAGCGGCGGCGACGGTACGGCAAAGTCCAGGCGTGTCTCCAGCGCACAGACCGGGTGCTGGGGGCACTGGCACGGAATGGACCGATTATGCATCTGCTGGGTGAGCATATTAACAACAATTAAAACCAAAAAAATATCAACAAGCTTTGTTCAAATGAGTTTGACTAGTAATTTTTGTCAGCATTTTTGCATTCTTAATAGACTTGTGTACTTGAAAAGAAAAGTTAGTCAGCATATACATACATGTATGTATTTATATACATCCAAATACTATTTTACCAGAAAGTTTCTTAATTACTTTTTAGAGTGACTATTTTATATATTTAATTATTATGGTTAGATAGAAGTTTTGTAACTGATTAAATCCACGGTACTAAAATAATATAAAAAATGTGTGTAAAGTTTTTATACTTAAAACATAAGAGTCTAACGACCTTATATGCAAAAGATATCCATTTTTATTTAAAATGTATTAAAGGATTTGGGCCTGCAGACATTCGAATAAAATATACATACATCTCAATTGGTATTATACAGATTTTTTTTATTAATTTTCTTACTTATGCGGTAATATTTTGAAGTTTTAAAGCCCGGTTTCCCCATCAACATTTTGACCCACATTTTTCCACACTTTTGTACTCAAATGTCAGCGCTTTGCCTTTGCGTTAATTATGAATCATTCAAACATAGTGTTATTAATGCCTACATAAACAATTAACTTGTCACTTTCGCTCTCTGTATATATGTATATCTGTTTCTCTCTTTCTGTTTTACAGTGGCAACCAGGGGCAACAGAACTCGGCAAACGCAAATTGGGTGCAGTTCTAAGACATCCAATGTTAAGAAGGGAGAAAGGAAATCAACTAGGCAATGGCCAGGACTATGGCACACACCTTTTGTGTTAAGGATCTTCGATACGTTTTATTATCTACACTATTATTATTATTACACTACTATTACAATTGTATTCCTCCTCACTGGCTAAATTGAAAGGCTTTAATGGACAACAGCTATTGGCACACAACATAAATTAGTTGAATGTTCAAATGTAATTTATCTTCAATGGCGAGTTGATCCTTCTTTTGGCGTAGACTTTCGACAAGTAGCGAGTTGTTAATTGTGTAAAATATTTGATCGAAATTGTAACTTGTATTTATATTTTATATTAACGGAACTTAACTAAACCAACGCAATGTAACGATGAGTTGATGTTATATTGAAGCAAGCAAGCAAACGCAAAACCAATTTAGTAGAAATTAAGTGAAAGTTGTAGCAAAAGGCGAATGCGAAAGTGAAAGGCAGCAGGACAGGAAGACAGGAGGAAAGCAACCAACAATGATATACATATTCAAGTTTCGCGTACTTATTGTTTACACTGCTTTATTCATTATACATACAATTATTTTGTATGCATACAAATTGTTATAGTTATGCAAAAGAAGATCTGTTATTTAACAAATATTTTTTTACATGCATACTTACTAATAACAATCAGGCAATATTATAAAAATTTATTTACATTCAACATTCCGTTACTAAGAACATATATTTGTTTTTAAATTATGATTATTATTTTTTAGTGTATGTACACAATATGATGGGCATGAACAGAACAGAACAGAGGATAACGAATTCATTTTGTGATTTACTTTGTGATTGCAAAGTGTTTAAATAGTTTATTGTAACTTGCTCTCAATAATCGCACAGGTTTTTTTTTTTATTTTTCTTTCATGCATATACATACAATACGACTTTTTCGGTACATGAAGAAAAGTAATGAATATATGTAACTCAAGAGAAAACAAAACATAAAAATATATATATACACAAAAGAAAATGCATAGCAATTAAGTAAATCAAATGAATTATATATACACACATACATAGACATATATGTATGTATATGTGCAAATGAGAAATCTGCATATGTATTTAAATAAACATATGTGTGTGTGGCAAATACGCGCACACACGAAAACTACGTTTAAATGTTTATTAATAGCAACAAAAAAAAAAAAACAACAAAAAAACTGAAAGTAAATCCATAAAGCTTTTTAAATGTGTTGCACCCAGCAGCTTAAGCAGCTCTGTGCTACTCCCGAATCTGTGCTTGCCACTAATTTGTTGTTGTTTAGCCCCCATGTTAACTGTAATTGAAGTTCACGGATAGCTGCACAGGCTCATATGTATGTATTTACATGTAAGAGTTTACAGTTTATAAAAACAAAAAAGAAAACAAGAAAAATAAAGCCAGGCCACTGTTTTATTTGCCTAATAATTCTCATTTCAATCTATCCGCTTGTTTGGCGCGTTTCATGGCTTATAAGAAGTAGATATACAGAATTCAGATATGTATACTATATAGTATACATATATGTATGTTTATTTAGAATGCTGCTTAGAAAAATGCAACAAACAAAACAAACCGTGAATTTAAATGTATGTATGGATATAATTAAAACAAAAGAACAATTTGCATAACAAAAATGTTTCAATGTTTTCTGTTTCACACATACATATACACCAGATATTGTATATACATATATGTAATTAGAATTGAAATATAATAAAAATGGAAATGAATTTTCATGTTGAATTTTGAACGCATTTAAATGCGTCTCTTTTCAGAAACTACTCCATTCATGATGACTCGATTCTGAAGATTTTAGGCCCAACTGTTCCAACGAAATCTTAACCAGCTCGAATTTTTTTTATTTGAAATCTCGAAGCAAAATTTTGTAATACCTGCACCGGCTATCTGTTTCGAGGCTTAGAACTGCTTCTAATACGAGCCAAATGAGACCACTTTATTATACAAAAATATTTTTTCTTTTTCAAAGCCAACGATGTTGAAAAATGAGTTTGTTGCCAAAAGTATGGGTCGTACATTATTACCACGGGATTGGGATACTTGTTTATTAGAGGAAGCAATGTATATATATATATATATATATATATATATATATATATATATATATTGTGTACTGTTCGATCTTTGAGACCTGATTACAAATTTGGATTTATAATTGAACGCCGCAATGAAAAAAATATAAAATTCCATAAGAATATCTTAAGAGCATTGTCTCTCAAGTTTCTTCTTGAGCCAATCATTGCTATACTATTATCTGTATAACAGATGTGCTTCAATTTGAATTGTTTATGACTTATTGTTGAAATATTTTACCACAAGCAACAGACGATTTATTCCTCCTCTTAACAATTACATAACATAATTTTACTGAAAAGGATATCAGAAAATGTCTGTTGCTTCAGCCTTAGATAGAATTAAAGTCTTATATATCAATATAAAATTAGATCTTTTGGGTTCGAGATTCCATATCTCGTTGTAACACTGTATCTTAAGTTATTGTTTTTCTTTTTTTCCACTTCCGCTCAGTTATGTTAAGGAACTATTCATTGGCAGGAACAAGATAAATAGAGAACTCTCGGGTGTTATTTGTTAGTTTGTGATGCAATACCCATCCTATATGCATACAAAGCAAGGCTGCTTTCTTCAGCTCTCCCGGTTCAGGAAGGTAATATGTTTCGCCTGCTATTCGACAATTGCAAAAAGAAATGTGTGAACTAGTTGTTTATTTATTTTTTTCTTCATATGTTTTTATTTAACTTATATTTGTTTTTCTCTTTTTGTTTGTATTCCTTTACTCTCTCATTGCTTGTTATTCTGTTTATTTTTTTAGTACATATTTTATTACAACGCATTAGTTCATAGGACTTCGACTTCACATTGATATAAATAAGAGTTTCCTCCTGTTGTATTTTTTGTTGTTGTTTTCTTTTGCTTTCTACATTAATTTGCAAAAATTGTATTTGTGTAAATGTTTTTGTTTTTTTCATTTGCATTATGATACGCTATTTAATCATATACATACATACATATATAAATACATACGTGTTAGTGTGTTTTTGTGGGAATTTAAATCTTGCTAGCGGATATTTTCACATGCATCTTTAGCCCTCTCTGCTGCTATTTGTTTCTTTAGATTTTGTTTATTTTCTAATCCGGGACATAGGCGACGCATGCGGAAAATAATATATGTACATACATACATACATATGCTAATAAAGTTCTATAAAGTAATACACAATAGAATTCCGAAAAAGTTAACTCGAGTAAAAGTTTTCCGAATTTCAGCGTCCACGTGTCGCTTTAAAAAGTTAACTCTTCAGTTCTTTGATGATGTAGAAGAAAAATTTCGCTCTTCAGATTAAAACTGAGGCAGGTGGAGATTAAAAAAAAATTGATCAAGGTATTTACGGAAAACGATTGGCGCTGGATTATGATGTATCAAAAATTGTCATCTCAAAAATAAAATAAAAACGTCATGCAATTTTTGAAGCGTTAGCGAACACACACGAAAAACTACGTCCCATTTTAAAATCAACTTCTTCAACTCGTGCGAACCATCTGCCTTCGATTCTTTCTATTGCCTATTTTTTTTTTTTTATCTATTTTTCGTCCCGACAAAAGTTTTGTCCAGTAAAAAGCGATAAAATAGTCCTGAATCATTTGTGTTAAATAGTTGTGAGTAGATGTCCACTTAATGTCCCGCACATAATTAGAGATTGCGAATATCGTGTCTTTTCTTAAAATTTGTCAGCCATCCATAATTTAGATTACATTTTATTTCCAGGGTACATTGTGGCGTATTCATGCTGACCTTTTGAATTTAAAATTGCACCAACCACCATTGCACAATTGTCCTGTCTTTGTTTCAAGAACCATTTATACAATCTTGCCTCAAGATGAGGATATTCCGTTTTATGTATAATATTCTTGTGTGCCTTTTCATATGTGTTCGCTACAGCCTAAAAAATTTCAATAATTCCAGCGCCATTATTTTTCCGTGAATGCCTTGGTAATTTTTTTTTAATTCTCCAACTTTGCTGGATATCTAATCTGATTTGCGATGAGTTCTCCTTATTCAAAAAACTAAAAGGTTTACTTTTTAGAGCGGCCCGTGGACGCTGAAATTTGTTTAACTTAATCGACCAACTAACTTTTACGCGAACTAACTTTTTTGAGATTCTACTGTACATATATATATATATATATATATTAATTTGTATAAAACATTAATTGTTGTTTGTGTCTGATTTTGTTTCTGTTTCGGTTTTCTTTTTGCCTCCTTATTTACATGCACAACCTGTTGTTGTTGTGGCCGTTGCTATTTTCTTATGATGGTGTGTTTTCACCAAAAAGAAAAACGAAAGAGCTTACACGAAGAGACTAACGATAAACTTATTTACGAATGTAAAAACAAAAGAAACGGCATTTGATGGTCGATCGACATAACAGCTCTAATGTGAATTTGTATAAAGCAATGATTTGACACTTATATATAAATATATATATATGTATATTATTAAAATCACGAAGGTCTCGGAGACGGAGCAAAATAAATAATAAATTATGTAACCAGTGGAAAGTTTTTCAATATCGCATTTACAATTTATATTTCTGATTTTAATTTGTTTTTTGCAAATCCTATTACGAATTCTGGTTTCAAAAAAAAAAAAATGTTTGTATTCAAAATGTTAATTCTTTATCAATCAAATAAATATCCCAGTACCTGAATAGAAAATTGTAACATCGAGTCACAGCTTAATTTCAAGTGAGACTTGTGAGATATTGGATACCATCTAGCTCTTTTTAATGTATTTCAGTCTAATCTAAGCAGCTTAAGAAAACCTGAATCTTTCTTTCCGAGACCAACAATTAGCAAATCAGTTGCTGTCATGCTACATACATATTTTAACAGTTTGCCGTTGGGTTGACTGAATATTAATTAAGCTTTACATTATAGACTCTAACTAAACTTAAACTAACGTTCTTCGGGTTTTGTGTAGGTGTGTTTCAGGGTTGTAGGCAATTCGTACATAACAAACTCTGGAAGTATTTCGTAAGTGTAAACAATGTCTAAAACCGTCTGATTAGCCATTTGATTAGTAAGGTTCAAGTTGAAAAAAAAAAAAACAAAAAAATCCATGTTATTTAATTTAGAAATGTACATTTTTTCAGGCGTTCCAATTGCCGCCGGCTGCTTTTCTTTGCTCGTCCTTGTTGTTGCTTATTTGTTTGTTATGCTGAAGCTGTGGCTGTGGGTTTCCTGATTCCTGTCGGTTGTTATGTTCGAGTTACATAAAACGCTGACGTTTACTGCTGTAGTGGCATATATCCATTTTATCATCGATGGGACTGCCGGGACGCTTGCAGTGACGCGCTATCTCGTTGGCAACAAATGCAAATAGCTCCGGACCACTACAACAATATAAAAAGAGTTAATATTATAATTTAATTGGCATTAAATGATTGGATTACGGCATTATGTAAGATTAACATAAGACATTCAAAATTTTGTAATAAAAACTCGTTTAATTATTTTGTTCCTATGTTTCTACATTAAGTGATTGAAAATTTGCACAGACAATATAAAAAATGTGTCTTGCAAATTGTCTTGAAATACTTTTGTAATCTTCAGCATAAATTAACCTGCACGGTCTTAAGCCCTGTCGCAGTTTTAAAACCTTTAGTTTCGAACTTGGACTTACCGTGGACGCAAAACTAAGGCCTCCTTGAAAGTGTGCAAATCATCGCCCATGACGCCAGCAGTGCCGATGCCAACTGCCCCACCTGTTAGCACATGAGCCGGGGACGTGACCGAAGAGGGCGGCATGGCAAGACCCGAATTGGCGAATCCCAAGGCTCCGCCACCATTGTTGTTGTGATGCTCCGGTTTGGGTGAGCTGTAATGCAAACGATAAAGTGCTCAGTCAAAACAATATAATTCTAATATTATTTGGAGGTACTGGTTGGGACAATTCTAAAGCGTCGACTCACCGACGATTGGCATGTGGATTTGTGGTTTGTGATGGCAGCGGTTTTCCAGCTAAATAGGCGAGCAGATCCTCGCGGCGTATCATTCGGCGTTTTTTGCTGCGTGCCCAATCGGCCAGTTCGCGAGTGCGTCTTTGGTAGCCGCATTGTATGGCAGCGTCGCTAGTGCGTTTGAGACCATCACAAGATTCTGCAAAAGAAGGCAGTAAAGAATGAGGCCCAATTTTTTTTTTGTATTTATTTCGTTTTTAACACGAATTCCGCATACCTTTGTAGAGTGTTGTCACAGTGCCAGCTGCGGTCTGAAAGGGCAGCCAGAGTGCCCCAGTATCTGAAGCATATGTGTTTGAAGACCGCTCTGGAATGAAAATAAAAATGGAAACATATAATAATTTTGCGTTTCATAACTCTAGTAAATAAAACCAGCTGTGCAATTATCAAGTTGCTAAAAGTCTTAATTAACAAAACTTCATTTTTATGCAGCTGTTAAGTTTATGAGCATAAGAAGTAAATGATATTTAAGCTGATAACTAATGAGTTTTCACAAAATTAGCTTGCATTTCGAAATAATTTCTTTTGTCTAAATCGAACATGACCTTCTTAGAATAGATAGTTCGCAAAAGGATTCAACAATGGAAAATTTGGTTTATTCAGAAAACAAACTCATCAAACATTGTTTTTAGCGATTATGAAGAAAAAAGCTACGAAAAAAGCTAAGAAATCTAATATTTAGAACAATTTCAGTTCAAGAGCAATATCCATCCCAAATATTTTGGCACTTTAATTCCAAATAATCAGCAGGGATAGATCGTTAAGAAGGCACTGAATGAAATGATTTCAAATCATAGATAAAATGTATAAAAATATCAAAAAATTGTATTTCGAACATTTTTATTGAATTTATAAAGTGCAATTTTTAATTTGGAATTTAGTGATCTATCCGTATTGGTCTAAGTGTGTTAGTTTTAGGATCTGCAAATATATGGAAACATACAATGTTCACATCGCAAATACCCTGTTTGTGAACAGTACGAGCATGTCGGTCATTGTTCTGTTCGGTTGCACTCTGAGAACCTTTCGTTAATACTTGAAGAAGATTTGAAGGATATATTTTTTTTTTTGTTCTTCGACAGACGTGTGCAGCATGCAACACCTGCTGCAACGAAAAAAGGACGCGGCACTTGCACATTGCCGCTACCTGCTGCAAGCAAGAAACACCACCGGCACTCAGCCGGGTGTGTAGACTACGACGATAAGGACAACGACGACGACAACTTATCGACCCGCCCGATGTCGATGTGAATGGAAATGTGAAATAAAATGTTTTGGGTGCGTGTGAGTGAAATGGGAATGCTGTCCGCTGATGGTAGTAGCCAGGTAGATTCAAAGTGGAAATCAAAACGATAATGAAAACGCAATTTCGCAATGGGGGGAATTCAACAACCTCCGGACACAAGAAGAATGTCATCAGCGTCGGCGTCATCCGTAATTCATCATTTCCGCCTCGAGTTGAAGTTTTCGATTTTTAACGAGAGATACAAAAACGCATTAAAGCAGTGACACAATGACGAAGTCGAAACAGCTGTTCTGCTTCTGCTCCCGTTATTATTCTTTAAATCATCCCTTCCTATAACGATTGCCCGAGTAGTGAGACTAAAGCTGAAACAAATTCAATGTTAAGGATGATGTGCATTGAATTAGCTTTTATGAGCTTTTAACTATGCATAAAAGACGTATGAAATCGAAATTTTAAAGCATAGAACCGTATAATTAAATAAAGCTTCAGATTAAGTTAGCCTTTGTAATTTTTACCCTCTATTACGACTACATTTGAAATAACCAACAGCGATACTTTTTATTTATAAACAAGCTTCATAAGCTCCCAAGCTAATGAAAACAAATACTGTTCATTCAATTTTCAGGCAAATGCTTTAGAAACCATTGTTTGAACAAAAAACATGTTTGGTATTAGTTTTGAATAGAAATATATATGTATGTATATATTTTTAATAATCTTACTATTAGGTAAGCACTAATTCTTAATGAGGCCATTTGTTTTAGCAAGTTTTTACTGTAAATTGCGTGTAAGGGAAGAATAAAGATGCATTGTGTATGTACGTACATACATACATATGTACATATATACATATGTATATAAATGGCTCGGGATGGTGGGTAGTAGGATCTAGTGCTCATTATTTTTTCTTGCAAAATGTGCGTGGGAGCTACTGCCTTTGTTTTTCTTGTTTCCGATGGAGACGATGCATTTCGCAAGGATATAATTCTTTATATTGCATCAAAAGGCGCTGTCTGCGTTCTCTCTCTATTCCACAACACCATTGCCATATTCTCACATTCGGGGTCTTTTTCTCTCTCACACTCACTATCTCTGTGCCCAGGAACCCACACTCATACACACACACACACACACACAAACACATTTATAAACGCACCCAAGCCCTTCTCTCTTTTTTTGTTTCGTATTTAATGCGTAGATATTTATTTGAATCGCTTGAGGAAAATGAAAAACTTGAGACGTAATAGAATTCGGGGCTTATGTATTTACGTATATACATTTCAATATACATATGCATATATGAATACATATTCATAGATGTATATATACATACATGTGTGTTTGTACATATGTATGTATGTTGTACTTGGAGCACGCATGCAGTAAAGTCGCAGCATGGCAGCCAAACACAAAACAACAACAAACTTTCACACACACACATATGCATAAGTACATATGTTCGGGGGAAGGGACAGAGGCACCGTCATATCATGTCTATATGTATGTAGGTAGGTATGTATAAAAGCCGGGCTTGCTGTTGTTATTGTTGTTGCTTTTGCTGTTATTATTGCGGCTACAGCAGCTTTTGTAGCTGCTGTTTTTATTGTTGTTGCGAACGCTGCTGCTTCTACCACGGACCGTCTATTAATACCTCGCCTAAAACTATTTTAAGCAATGCGACTACGAAGCCCCTGCTTGTACACACACACACACACACACACACACAAACACAAACACATACAAGGTAGAGCGGTAGATAAGACGACATAAACAACAAAATAAATAAATAATTAAATAAGCCGCGGATCATATGAGAAGGGTCTTTTGATTATTATTACATTTGTATGTACATATATCTATTACACATGCACATTAAGTTTATACACTAAGAGAGAAAACGACCAAACATCGAGTATATTTCATACTTTTAGAGCTTGACTCAGAAATATGAAGAAGTAATTGTATGCACACCATGTACATATATTCCATTTCCTTAGATTTATGTTTATACATATTTGCATATGATTATACATACTGTATGTTCTGTATACAAAACCTGCAGAAAATGGATTTATTCCACATAGTATGTAAATATGTAAATACATGTATCAAATACTTCTGTATTGCTTCACTATCGAGTCGGAAAACATCTGTGCAATGGTCAATAAAATATTCCATTCGTCGTGTGTTTCAATTGCAATTGCTCTGAATATGTAAGATGGCGTTGTTAATTACTATTTCAAAGATGATGCTTTTTTTTGCCAAGAGTTTATACCAATGTCCATATGCATGTGTGTCTGTCTGTATGCACATACATATGTGTATGTACATATCTACAGATGTATGTACTTAAATATTTGCGACATTTTGTCATTGCTCCACGCCCTTACGCATAGGTTAAAATTACTGGCAAGTCATGGGCCTTTGGGATCACGAATGTACATACATATGTATGCAGGTATATACATACAATGTATGTTTTGGACTTACCGCGATAGAGTTGAGCGACGGCTGTGGCCGTATCCTGGAAAGCTCCCCAGGCGGTGCCCAAGCTATTGTCACGCTGACGAACATATTCACGCTCGTGCTCATCGTGCTGGCCGTTGATTTCACGATGACATTGCTCCTCCAGCCAACTTTCTTCGCTCGATTCCTGTTGTTGTTGCATTTTTAGGCAGCGGCACCGTGCCTTACTTTAATTAGCTGTTCAAAAATATTTCTGTTTCGCCCTCCTGCTACTTAGGTTGCATGAATGGTTGTTTCTTTTAATTCTGACGCAGCTCTAACTTCTGCGCCTGCAGCTTATTCCTTTTTTGCGTGCTGCTGCAACGATAGCACGCACTGACACACTACACACACACACGCTGCACGCTCACACGGTTCGTCGATTTGCGCGTGTGTGTGTGCCTTTGTATGTATGTAGCTAGAAGTGTGCGTGTGTGCGTTGTGTTGTCTATTGCTTGGTTTTTTTAAATCACATTTACATAGGTTAGGAATTGTAAAAGCACTTCAATTCACCGTCTCAATTGCCTTTATGTTAAATGGCATCAGGTGCAACGAACAGAGCGTATATATAATAATTATTTGTTCCACTACACAAAAAAAGAACAAGCAGTTGTAAAACAATTTAAGCGACGTGAAGTTGGCTGCGGCCAGCTGATATGATGTGTTGGAAAATTATTGCCAACAGTCGACAGCCTTCCATCGAGAAAAACGATAAGTCGATAGATTTGAATAGCTTTATATCGTTGCAGGGTTTTATATATTTGTAATATAGAAATCAACCTGAATTCTAATTTGAATTTAAATAAAATTATTAATAGCATGATGATTTTCAGGGGCAAAAACATACACGTTGGCCGCATTGCTGGTTTACATCCATTTAAAATTAGTAAAGTCGATTGTATATTTCAACTTTCGGCAATTTCTTACGGAATTATCGTTGTCCTCTTGGTCAGTTTTTGAAAATGGTCCCGTCAATGAACATTATGCGGCTATCGCAAGTGAGATATTTTCACTATAAATCTTCCGATAGTATGAGATGTTCTCAAGTTTAGAGTACTTCAAATATGGGAAATAAGTAGCATCGATATCGATATTCAAATACATTTTAAAATTTACGGCAGATATGCTGTAAATGCATTATGTTCTCTAAATTCGATTTTGTAAATAGAATGCATAAAACTTAAATATTTTAACTTGGTTTAATAGTATTTAGTAAGCTTGAGGCTATTGGTGATTTGGATTATTGGAATCCATTGGTGGATTGCTGGGCTCTTCAACTGAGTGCATTGACATTGAATCGAATCCGTTTGGGGTTGGAAATATTTGAGAGGTATGCATTGGTGGCATGTTTGGGGCGAGATTGGGATACGGTATGGGCACGTTCGGGTATCCTCCGGTTATAAAAAATCCCGTATTTGGTGGCATATTCACAACAATTTGTTGTGACGGTGGTCCGGGTTGTCCAAGCATGGGGGGCGGTGGTATCATAGGAGGCACGTGTGACCAAGTTGTAAATGGGTAATATGAGGGATACATCGGTGGCATTGGTGTAAAGGTTGCCGATGGTACATTAGCAGGTAGGTGGTTGACAGGTCCCGTGTTTGGGTTGAAATTAATAGTAGCTGAAAGAAAAAATTTAAAAAATGTAATGAAAAATGGTTTTAATTTTAAATAAAATGTTTTTGTAAATCTAAGCAGTTAGAAAGAGCATCACTCACCTGGTACAGATTGTTGTATGTCAGAGTTAGCTGAAGAGTCGTCTAGATCAGTATAATTAGATTCGATCTCTTCATCTTCTGCAATTCCACCTCTTTCACTTATTTGCAAGTTAACAATTTCCTGACCCAATTCTTCAATTAGCTCTGGTGGCACATTGATTGACGGCTCCACTCCAGCTGTCTCTCTCCTAGCTTGCCTGTTTTTTAATTCCAGGATAGCGAGAACCTTTTTAGCAACAATCTCTAGTCTCTCTGCCGGAGTTTTTTGAGTAGACAATGTTACAGGTTCTTCCGCCATATGCTCACATTGTGATTTTTCAGTCTGTTCAGAGTGCTGCAAATTTCCCATTGGACGTACAATTGAGGCTGGCGGCAAATGAGCAACGATAGCACTAGCAATTCGTTCAGCGGTTCCAGGTCGATTGTTTACCCCATTTTGTTGTCGCGTCTCGACAAGGAACTCAAATTGGCATGTTGGACAAGTTTGTTGATACTGAAACCAGACGCCCAAGCATTCGGCATGGTAGATATGGCCACATGGCATCTTCCTAGTGTCTTTGATTGACATCGCATCCCTGCATATAACGCAATTACGGCCCTGAGTGCGTATATCTGTGAACGAGACTTGGGATAGCGTTGTATTGATATGTGTCACAATCTTTTGAGAGGATAGGTATTCATTTAATGTGTCCCAGATGTTCCTGAAGGTCTCCCAAATCGAGCGTATGTTATAGATCCAAAGAAACATGACCTTAGTCAACAAAAACCAATTGCAAAATATATAAAGAGCCGCCCTTATCATAAGAAATACGAGTTGTATGATAAGGTAAATACGTGGATTACGGTGCCATGAGTCCACACAGTTGCGTTCGAGGAGTTCACATACGTACTTACAATCACTGTGAAAGAGGTTGCACATTAGGATGGCATACTCAAAGAGGAATAGGATGTCCAGAGGTTCAAGTGATGTTGAAACATTTGAGAGTAAGTTGCACGAATTCACTAAAAAAAGGCCAGATAGGTACAGCACTTGCGTAATATGAAAGCTAGGCCTTATAATTGTTGCTCGATGTAGAACCTGAATGCGTCTTTCAGTCAGCCAATGAAACATTCTGATCACCAGAAGTGCTATTCCAGAATATGTCCATCTCTCCACATCATTCGGCCCGATCACAAAAAATACCGCAAAATATTCAATTAAACTTTTGTAAATGTTGCTCTCCAACTTGCATAAGCCTTTTGGGTCCACAGCGGCATTAGCTGTATGAATTGCTCCGACGCGGCCAAAGAGCGTTACTAAAGCACCCGCAGTTACAGCAATCACATAATATTCATATTGCTGGGCATGGTAGCTGAACGGCAATGACAGCGATTCGCCATCATAAAAAATCAAAATGGCTGAAAGGATGACGCACACGATGAAATGAACAAATAGCCACAGCATGTTAAATGACGCGTGTTTGTGTAAGTGCTAATCCTGTATGGATGGGCTCGATATTAAACAAACGCGAGCCTTGTATTGACGATTAAATTTAGAAAAAATATTTTTGTATACATAAAATGTAGCTTATTGTGTACGTTTTTCTAATACCTACAAAGCCAGTCGACAAATTAAAGACTGAGAACTCTGTGAGTTCAAACGCGTGGCATGCTGCGAGTCGTAATTTTTTAATTTACGAGGCCAACTTTAAAATGGTTTTTATTTGGATATACGAAACAGCACAACGATGTTGCCTTTAAATAAAATTTGTGCATGTAACGGTAGTTCCGTTGTGTTGTACTTTTTTCTTTTGCCTTCGGAACTAAACGAATTATGATTGGGGTCACACTGTTTTAAGGAGTATCGATATTTTCGTTTACTGGGCTATGTTACGTTTAATGAATTAGTTCCATTGCTCATATTACATTTATAATAAATATATTATTCAACAACGTCCCTAAAACACAAAACTAAAATATTATATCAATGATTGCTTTAATTTGATTTTTAAGTGTATAATTCGTATTAAGCGCTCTTTTTATTTTTTAAGTTGAATAGTTCAGTCCAATGAACGGTTCTTTTGAACTTGTTCTGAACGAACTGACACAGCTCTAGTCGCTATGTAAAGTTTATTTGCAAGAAAAAACAATTCCTTGCAAATTTCGTGGATCTGCACGAACCATGTTGGCAATCGTATTTTTTTGACACTCTTAAGAAACAAAAGCTACGCTCAATAAGCGGATAAAGCGACAAGAAGGACAAATTGTTTGCACTCGTGTGCGTGCGTGTACGTTGTTTTTTAAAGAAACATACATACATACATATATACATAGACCAATACGTAGATTGTGTGTCTGGCGCATATTTTGGCGTTCCCAACGTAGAGGACGAAAATGGCCAGCGAGCCAGAGAACAAGCCACCGATATTACATATTCTAGTCGTGGGCTTTCATCACAAGCTCGGCTGCCAGGTGGAGTTCTCACACCCACCACTGATAGCCGGCTCTAGTGGTCGCCACGAATGTCCATCCGGCTGGAAGTACCTGCCCACATTGGCGCTGCCCGATGGCTCACACAATTTTATGGAGGATACTGTATTTTTCAACTTGCCCAGCCTGTTTGAGCCCGCCGAAAGCATCTATGGTGTCTCATGCTATCGCCAGATACCCGTGGAGCAGCTCAAAATACGGACAGCGGATGTGACGCGTAGCACGGTGCAGAAATCCGTCTGCATATTGTCACGTCTGCCCATATATGGATACATTGAGGTGAAGCTAGCGCTCATCGCCGATGCCTTCTTTGAACAGGGCGATTTCTCTGGCACTGAGCTGCTAGTAAAGGCCTATCAACAACTCAACGCTTGCTTGCTGGGCGATGACGAGGTGCGTCGGCCGTTGCGCCATTTTCATGTTGGCTTGTCACTGCGCGAGATCGTTCTCCACTGGCGGCACAAAACGCTAATGTTGTTCAAGCTGTTACTCCTCCAGAGACGTGTCGTCTGTTTTGGTTCTCCGGTACGAGGCATGTGCGCCCTGATCCTTGGTGTCGCGTCCCTGATACCGCGTCTTCTCGAGAAAGGCTTTCAGGAGGTAGCTTGTGTGCGCACCTCACGTCCTCTGTCGCCGATGCCCGATTTTACGGACTCACTACAGCGGGAAGCGGCGGCTGAAGTGGAGGCAGCGGCGGCCCAAAAACTAACGCCTGAAAGCGCAACGGCAGCGGCTGGAGACTCTGAGGATTTCGCTCTCGTGTCGTCCGCAGCATCGGTGGGCTCGTTGGGCAATAGTAGCGGCAACACATCGCCCCAGACAACGACGCCAAATTCACAGTCGCAGGAATCAAATTTTCCATCGAATCGCGATTTGCAACGCGCCGATTCCACAGAGAGCGGTACTAACGTCGCGGGCGGCGAAATGGGTGCTGGAAGTAGTGGAGGAGGCACGGACGGTAGCAGGCGCAACGGACGCAGCAGCTCTCTGACTCGTGAGGCAAGCGTGGATACGTTGGCATGTAAGTTATCCTGAATATATAGGGATAATGAATTATTTCTCAAAATATCATCGAGTCATCAGTTTTATTATCAAATAAAGAAATTCGTATTATGGTATCTGTCGAAACCGTTTCATCAAGTTATAAGTATTATATATTATGTATATATATATATATATATATATATATGACATATTGTTTTGGATATTCTTATTAAGAACTTTCTTTTTATAATGAATGAGTAGAGTGCAATATTACACCCGTTTTCCAATCCACAGCAAACTTGGCCGCTTTGTGCGCTGTCAATCCGGATGAATATCGCGCGCCGATCTCGATCTTTGCCAGCGGAAATCTGTGTCTGCCTTATTTGTCCTTGCCCTATATGGACCTGCTTAGCGATCCGATGGTCCTCTCATATGTGATTGGCACATCGAATGTGCTGTTCCAGCAAAAGCGACAGTTGGCCGATGTCCTGGTGGATATTGACGCAGCCAATCTGGAGACTCACGACGCAGAGCTGAGGCGACAATTGGTGCTGAGCACCGAGGATTTGCGCTATATGGACTTTATACTGAAGCACGTACAAACGCCTAAGGAGGATGCCGAGGGCAGCGAATATTGGATACGGGAGCAGTTCCAGGGTTACATTTTGGCGCTATTACGCACCACAGTGGCACAGGGTATGTTTGCCCAGAGGTCTGAAAGGTCACAAGGGCTCTAAAAATGTTCTTTGTGATCGCTATTGACTGATTGGTGTTACATGTTCAGTAAATACAGAAATAGACTCAATACACTCCATCTCAATACCATTTCCAGATGCCACGCCAAAGGATAATGATCATTTCAATGCTCACTTTGTGGGGGCTTTTAAACGTACACAATGCTTTCAGGAATGGTATGATGTGCGACCCGAACCCGAATTTTTTGATTTATTACCCGCTGGACATCCGTTCGCTGGCACTCTCTCCGTGGCCGACATGAAACTAAAGATTGCACAGTAAGTTCGAGTTTTAATTTAATTAAACACTAAATACACAAAGCTTTTAGTGGTGATGCTGTATCTTTTCGGAATTTGCACTTGCCTAATTATTCCCTATGTCTTAAAGAAAACAATCAACCTATCACCTACATATTTTTGAAAAACGTTTGAGTAAATCGGTTCCAAAAGCTTTGCTCTGAAGCTAGTGTTCTAATTTTGTTTCACTTGTTACTTTTTTTAACCGAAAACGTCAATCATTGCTTGAGATTTGAAAAACATACCAGATCGCTTCCTCATAATTGAGTCGAATTTTGAAGCTTCGAAAGGTAGCATTTGTAATAAATAAAAACTAACGAGCTCGCCTTAAGCTTTGCCCAACCGTAGAAACTTCAGATAGCACAAAAAAAGAAATTGTTTTCAAAAAGTTTGTTCGTTTTCTTTTGAATAGAACGATGCAGAACAGCGAGAGTGGTCGCAAAATAAATCAGGCTGTGAACACAACCAGTCGCGCTGTTGGCGGTGCCATTTCACAGGCGAAGGGCGCCTTCTCCAGCTGGTGGTCATCCATAACGACAGCACCGCCCCAAGGTGGCAACGGAGGTGGCGGCAGTAGCAACATCGGTTCGATCAGCCTAAATGGCGAATGTGAGGAAACTGAGCCACAGCAGCAGACACAAGGGATCTCAGTTACATTCCAGAATCACCAGAACGATGCGGATGTGGATGTGGCAGGTGTAAGCATACATTTGGTGACCAACAGTGGTTGCAATCTGGAACTGCTAGAGGAGGCGTTGGAGTCTCACGAGTCCACGAGCGAGGCGGCACAACAGCAACATGGCATCGTCGAGATTGGCCACGAAGCTGAGGTTCTCAATAGAAGCGATGCCAGCGATGCGAGTGAGTCTCCAGCGAAATCAACGCCATCGATGCGCACGTCGACAGGGACTGGGTGTGGCACTGATTTGGCCACTGCGGCCATCGAGCGTCCCAATGGCGATGTTTATATCGTTTGAGCGACACGCCTACTAATTGTATAAATTGAGCCTAAATATTGCGATTTGTCCTTATTAAACATGAAAAAGAACATTGAAATTATTTACACATTATAGTTCATACCTATAATGCCTCAATATCCGAGAAATTTGGATTTTGTGCATTAAATGGTTATCTACACTGCATATTATAAGCTTTGTAGCAGAGTTGTCTCATGACCTTCTTTTTTACACTTCTCGTTACTCACATTGGCCAAAAATATCTATATATATATATATAAATATATGTATTATTGTATGAACGTTAAATTATCTCATTAAGCTACAAGTCCCTCAAGCCGCCCCATTTTTGTATAATTCAAATGTTTGACCTGAAATAAAACCTCGAAGTAGGATTGTTGTGCAATTATCAAAGAACATTTATAATACTAATAAGTACATGTAACACTGTCTAGAAACACACATATGTACATTATTTACAAATAAATTTTCAAATGCCGGGCGAAAAATATGAACAATCCTGCTTTGAAGTAAAATATAGACGTTTCAACTGAATTAACGTCCAGCTTACACGAATAATTTGAATTTTGTGGGTGATGTTAATAAGTATATTGATAATATTGATCATTTCTAATATTTTTGTAATAATCGTACATTATGCGTGTAGGCTAGACATTAAAGAAAAATCGCACGACCTATGAACTAACTACATATATAGAGTCGAAAATGTTATCCTTTGCCAACAAAAGAAGAAACTGAGCTTGCTTAGCACTAAACAAAACAATGATATTCCATGCTTTCAATTTTGTAACTCTTCATTTCTATGTATGTATCACTTTAATTAGGCAGTTAAACTATGTATTACATATTAAAATGAACTAAATTGTATGGACATTTTCATTATCGTTGCACATTTTATTTCGCGTGTTGACTCAATTCAGCTGCTCTCTCATATATGGAGCAACAGATTTGGTTTTAAACCGGAAAGTGCTTGTCTAAACAGACCGTTTCTCTCAAGCTTTGTGGATGTGTGTATTATCTGAAGGCTCTTGCGCCGTGCCAGCCCGTTCTTTTAATTCTGCGTTGCCTCCAGAAACACAGATTTAAGCAAAATACAACATCATATGTCAGCCGCCAATTTTGTAATTTAAGACAAGAAAGATTGTGATAGTCGAGCAAGACCGACAGTGAAATACCCTGTACTTAGGCAAACTTCCGGCACTGAGTCATGTCTGCCCATTGCGGAGGCAAAAAGATGAACTTGATGCTGCACTTTGTGGGATGAAATTGTTTCGCTAAGAACTATTCTTAGAAGTAGATAATTGTATATAGATAGCTTTTAAAATGTGGACAGTATTGACGAAATTCTTTATCCTGGAGAGGTGGGGGGGCTAAAAAAAATAAATATAAGCTCGTACTGCCTAAGGACTATGAGCGTCTACTTACCAAGTTTGGTTGAAGTGCACTCAGCGTTCATTTAGGCAGACGGACATGTCCAGATCGATTTCTCTCGTGATGCTGATTAAGAATATATATGATGTGGGAGATGTTTCCTTCTGCCTGTCACATTTGAAAAACCTAATACATATACCCCTTTTTACCCTGGGTATAAAAAAGCTACCATTTGCGTATATTTTTTATTACATTCTGGTTTTATTAAATTAAAATCTTGATCATTAACATGTTTACATAGCCTAGACTACAATTAATTTGCTAAGTTTTTTCCGGATTTTATTATCCCGTTTCAAAAAAACATTTTTCAAAAAATGTTATCCTATATATATGTAAATACATAATAATAGTGAAAAAAGATTCAACAAGATTCTAAAACTTACCATATTTTTGCGCTGAAAGAATAAATGAAGTTATGGATATCGATTCTTTTCGGTATATTTCTAAGAATACATGTGTCCTTTTTATTTTTCCTAGTAGCTAAAAACACAAACTTATGCTATTTCGGATCTAGGAGAACCTGTACCAAATTTGGTTATTTTAGCAGCAATACTCACCGATATATTTGCGTTTATATAGACTATATACTTTGTATTCAAATCTGGGTTCAGACGTATTGCTCATTGCTCAGCGAGCAAATTTGAAAATGGGTTAAAAGGTGAGCATCGATTAGCAGTTGTTGTATTGGGTAAATCGATCCATAAGCAGTTTCTACCCGTGAACGCTTTCTAAGCCATGACGTCACGGAGGAGAAATAACGTTGCATGTTTTTTGCATACGCTATTAGCAAAATGTTACTAATATTAAGGATCCGTGACCTGAAGTTTCAAATTATGGGGATTGCTATCTACGGTTCTTTTAACGTTCATCCATTCATGGGCCTTTAGCTTTTAGCGCGTTATCTTAAATTTGTCCAAATGTATTGTTGACTAAACCTAGTGTTAACTTACCAAATGAAATTTCTTTACAATAATCTAAAATAAATTAGGAAAAAAGCTTAATTATTTTTCATAATAGCCACAGAAAAAATAAAATCAATAGAACTTTTTACACTCTTTTACACTCTTCGTTTATTTTAACATTTTAATTTTAATTGGTATTATTGTGTTTCGTTTTTTTATACACCATATTCATGCTATGTTTACGAGTTACATTAATTTTATGTATTATAATTAAATATCGATCACATTTCCTTTTAAAACGTCTTTTCTTTTCCCTATTTGCTTACAGAACGCGCTAATACAAAAAAAAAAAAAAAAAAAAAAAAAAAAACAAAAAAAATGTACACAATTGCTTTAGCATTTTCTTATATCCTGCCTTTAAACTCAAATAAAATAGTTGCAGATTTACAGTTAAATAAAGTTAAAACAACAAAAAGTAGATATTTCTCCTTTTTACTAGACTATCTTGCTTCAGCAGACAATTACATTAAATATATTATTATTGCTACGTGTATGTTTATTTGTATTTTTTGGGCGCACTTGAAAATAAATAATGCTTTGTATTGCTTTTAACGTAGAGGTTGGCAAAAACAAAAAAAATATATATATTAGAAACGCACACAAATAATAATAAACGTAATAATAAGAATATTGAAGAGAATTAACGAACAGACATAAATATAGAGCGAGATTTGCAAAAATCAAATCGACGCTAATACTACAAATTAATTAAAATATGCACAATGTGTGAGAATTAAATGTGTGTAATAATTCTATACAATATTTGGCTGCTTACAAATCAAACAATATTTGTATTATTTAAACAATGAACAGAAAGAAAATGCACTTGAATTGTTTTCGAATTATTTTCACGCACATAGCTTTGTCTGTTTAACGCAATTCTATTCAAATTGTGTATACGTGGTATGTGTATAATAATAGTATTGTCCTAAAAGCCTTAAAAAATATTACTTGTCTTGCTCTGCATGCTTCATTCCCTTGAGCGCCATTTTTAGGCCACTTTCAGTTTTCAAAGTTCATAGAATGGTTTGGTTTAGTGGTTTCGTTTTTGTTTTTTGTTTTCTTTTGGTAATGAACATAGCAAAGGAATTGGCAAAAAGCCATCTGAGAATTCGAACCAAAAATTTTAAAGTATGTTATTGCTTTTTTGTTTTCGTTTTTTTTTTGTTTTTTGCAGAAATAGAAGCATTAACTTTCGAAAGATTTTGAAAAGAACAGTATACATTTATATATATATATATATTGTTGGTAACAATTCTGTTTCGTAAAGATGTTGAATAGTGTTTTGTGTGTGTGGGTGACAATTTTAGTTTCCTCTTTTATAAGAGTGTTTGCTTGAATTTTAGGTACATGACAGTTCTTTAATATTGCATTTCAACTGCTTTATCAAGTTTTATGTTTCGTAAAGTTCTCCTAAATTGCGTGCTAACTATGAAAGTGGCATTGTCGAAAACGACGACTCCGCCGCCCCAAAACCACAACAACAAGTCAAGCAGACAAAGAGCGTGCCTAACTAAAGTCTACATTACAATTTAAATAATAATATATATAGTGTCTATATATATATATATATAGTACAGGCTTCGAGTGCCATAGTGAGTCATGCTCCCTGTCTTTGTTACGTTTCAACTCCAGCTTCAGCTTCAACTGCAACTTTATCGCTCTTCTATGCCTCTTAATTTGGCGCATTTAAGGTATCCATGCCACCGCCGTACTCCTGGTTAATGGACAATAAAAATAGGAATGCCAAAGCTAGCAAACTAGAGCCCAGCAGATCACCCAGTGCGGTAAGATAGGGTATCGATGAGTTGTCCGGATCGATCTTCCACTTCCACATGGCATGCACGATTATATGCGCTATATACAGCAGAATCATTACCTGTAAAGATCATACAATATATATGCCATTAAACACATTATTTTTAAATGAGCTACGTACTTATAATAATCTCACATACTTGTAAACAGAACTAAAGGCGTACAGAATTGGAAACATATATAAAAATATAACTCAGTTCACAATAGTTAGGATAGTGAGGGTATTTCTGAAGATAAACTGTCTTCTTATACGTATCGTATAATATTATATATTATATATTTTATAAATCACATGATGATTTAATCAGATCTATAAGCTTAGAAGATAGGCATTGTATGGACAAAAGTAAAAACGTTTAAAAAATAAAATGAATTCATTTTAAAATACGTTTAAAATCTTTTCAAAAAACTACTCCCAGAAACTCCATCAAGCGACAGAGCATGAATAAGCCATTAGTGTCATGGCCATAAAACAAAAGTCAAAAACAGTATTGACAGTTGAAATATAAATTTTGCTTTTCCCGTTCCTTCACACGGACAGGCGAATTAAATTGAGATTAGATAACAATAAGAAATGTAGAATAACATAATCAACTAATCTATAAAGAAATCAGAAAATTTTTGTTGGAAATGTAATCAAATATACTTGAATATTGAACCAAAGATCCTGAGAAATATGATGAACACCGGCTAGATATAGATAGGAATTGAATTGAGATTAAATAAAAATAAAATAGGCACAATAAAAAGAAGAGTAAACTTTTTAAAATTTAAATTAAACTATTTGGAGAAAGAGCCAAAGAAACTCAAGCAAATGGCTGTGGATTGGTTGACCAAATGTATTGGGAATTAAGAATTACGCACCTGTATCAAACTGGCAATTAGGAAGGACATCATAAATGCCACCGTCACCGTCGATGTGGACATGTGTATATAGTCGGCCGCAAAGATAAATATAACATTGCCAGGTATAGACATGGCAATCAAAATGCGAGCCGTCTTCGCATATGGCACTATAAGAAAAAAAATGACATTTTGGAGTATATTCGAAATTCGTAATTTCCTGTGCATGGACTTACCGCCAGAGAAGAGCGCACGCCACGGCCACTCAAAGATCTTTGTGTGCGGCGGTATAATGCCAATAATCGAGCTCTGATGCAACATTGTAGATATCTTGCTGGCCTGCACTGACACCAGATTGCCGCCAATCCCATTGATGATCGGCTGAAAGACCACAAAACCATTGAAGACTTCAACGGCCGCATCGAGCACAAGACCTCCGAGCCTGCAATCGATTAGTTTCATAAATTAGTAAATAATATAAGAAAAAATTGTAGTAAAAGTAGTAATAGTAGTTGACCAACAATTGGGGCCACACAATCAACACTTAATTGCCAGAGTCCACCAGAGTCTGGCTCTGTTCGTATAAATAAAACACAATACATTTAAATTTAGGTTGGAACAGCAACTGACCATGATTTGGCAAAACCATACCAATCCCACCAATACAATGGCAATAGCAAAAATCAAAATCAAAGAAATGCTGCTGTCGTTGTCCAATTCAAGATTGTTTATAAATAGATTGTGTTTATCATGGCCCCAATAAAATTAAAAAAAAAAAAAAAAAACAACAAACAACTACAACAAAAAGAATTGTTGAAAAAGTGTTCAGCACTTGAACGCTTGAAAGTATCAGCGAGTCTCTAAATATGGTCAGGTTTGGCCAGCAACAGAAAAAATATATCAAATACTATAATTTCTATTCAAAGCGATCAAGTTTATAAATAACACATCTGTGTCTGGCAATTACTTCAACAACAATGGATTCTCTTCAAACTGAAAACTGGCTCTAAACAGCGATAGTCTCGACAACTTTTCTATTTCCAATTGTATTCGAGAGATTGATGTTATGTTTCAATCATGACTGCAAAAACTTAATAAATATAAATAGAACATTTCCTACACAAAAAAATGGATTCGTTTTCTATTTCTAATTTTAGGTTAGGATCGTGCTTTGATGAAGCTTTTTTTAAGACTCACTCTAACTTGAAAATATTTGTTTGCGTTTCTATAACAAAAATACAAAACAGTTGATTGATTACATATTTCCAATTCTAAGTTACAATCATCGTTAGTTTCGCTCTTCTACAAGGTTTAATAAGTTGTTTATAGACTGGTTAATATTGAAGACTCTCTATTTTCCAAAGTTCGATCATACGAAAGTATTAGGATCATGCTTTGATGAAGTTTTTTTTAAGACTCACTCTAATTTGAAAATATTTGTTTGCGTTTCTATAACAAAAATACAAAACAGTTGATTGATTAAATATTTCCAATTCTAAGTTGTGATCATCGTTAGGTTCGTCCTTCTGCAAGGTTTAATATGTTGTTTATAGACTGGTTAATATTGAAGACTCTCTTTTTTTTTTCTAAAGTTCGATCATACGAATGTATTAGAAAATGTCCTTTTATTAGACCAAGAACACAGTTTTTTGTTTTTTTTTTTTAGTTATATGATGATGAGAGAGCTGGGCTCGATACTCAAAAAGCTTTACATCCTAATGACTAAACGATATATTAAAGCCTCTAACGGAAGCTCGGAAAAATATAGTTAGAGGAGATTTACCCGCTAATGCAGAGCGCGGAGAGCACAGGCACCCAGCCGCTCTTGAGCACAGGTCGAGTGTACGAGTTCCTCAGCACGATGAAGACCCACATGGGTAACAGGACCAGATAGCAGGCAACCACAATGAACGTGATCCATAGATGAGTCTCTGCGCATTTAAATGGCTAGGGTTAGACGACGGAGGCCAAGATAGGTTTAAGTTTAGGCCACTCACTTATATGTTCGTAGAGCAGCGAGGCAATAAAGGACAGCAGACTGATAGAAACAACATCGCCAATAGAGGCAGCCAATGGTGTGGCCAGGTTATCCGGATTCAGGCGATATTTGGCTGAGAATAAAATTACTGCTACGAGAACAAAGTCTGCCAGAAGTAATCGATATACACAATAAGAATAATATATATTGAGATGTTATTAATTTAATTGAGCTACAAATAATAATAATGCTTACCGAGCACAAAGCAGGACGAGGTGGCCGTAAACATCGCCGAGGCCGTCAACAGCATCATATGGTCGAAATAGAAGGAACCGTTCATTGCTGCGCCCACAGATACTGCAAACATGGCCACCAGAAAGGAGGCCACAGTGGCCTGCACTTGCACCAGCGCTATGTTTCCCACAATCATGCGTGTCACCTCCTTCCTCGACGTCATGTTACCCAAATTGACTTGCGTAGAGAGGCGCGAGGCGAGGCACATGTCCAGATTGCCTTTCAGACCCAACAGCGCCGGCACCAGAATGAAGAGCTCGCTTACGCTTTGGAACACGTACCATTTCTGGAAGCAAACAATTAGAGAGCTCATTAAATTCTGATTTTAAAAAATTTAGAGCTCATTAAATTCTGATTTTAAAAAATTGCTCTACCGCTCATATCAATAAGTTTTTTTTATAGTTTTGATACAATTTAAAACTATTACACATTGAATTCCCATATGATATGAACTTAAGTGATTGGTTGAGAAATTTCCAGGGAGTATGTGAGTTTTCGAACTTTCTACCTTACTAAGATATTTTGTTACTATCTATATTATAATTCAGCTCCTTTATAGAGGAGAAATCGTCTATTTCTAGCTGATAATGCATTAATGCGATATTTTTAAAAACATCAAGGCATCGATTTCCGATGTACAAGATCGATGACTATTGTACACCTCTTACATCAATAGTGTAAATCAAACATGACTAATCGATATTTGATTAAAAACACACTGTGGTGAAAAAGCGATGGTAAAAATATTTAAATTGTGGCGATTCTTTTCCAACTGTTAGGCACACAAAATATTTGTAAACTTGTAAACTTACGCCTTTATTTTGTTTATATCTTCACTTATTATATTGTGCACTTGGGTTTTTTAATGCATTAAATATTTAATAGGGCTTATGTAAATAATGTTCACAGCTTATTGGCATTTGCATTTGTGTGTGTATTTTTTTTTGTTGTTTTCTTTTCTCAGACTAAAAAAACTTAAGCATGGCAAATTAGTTGATTAGAATTTCCTAAAGCAATTTGAAAAATGATAATAAATCGTTTAATTTGTTCGCCATTTGGCATACCCGAAGTTCTCAGGGTACAGTCATTGCAATTACTTTTTTTTCTATTTGAAAGACAGCGAAAAACAAGAAATATCTAGATGTGTATGTATACACAATTGTGTTCGCAATTGACTTATCAGTTAGTTAAAGTGTCCCATTTGTAAATTAAATAACGAAAAGTGCGATATTTTCTTGAAAGCTACCCTCCAATTTTGTTCGAACAAGATTTACGGATTCGAAAGTACAAGGCAGCATGTTTTTTTTTTTTTTTTAATGGAAAGCAATCAATCAATTAATAGCGGGGCAACTTCAATGTTTATTATGGCGATTAGAAATGAAGTACTCCCATTTATTAGTTTCATAAAGTGGGAAATAAATTATCGAATTATGATTAATTCAATTAAAAAAACAATTGGTCTTTGATATTGCATGTATGGTGTATTTTGTGGTCTTCTATCGTACATTGTCGTACTTTTAATAAATAATTGCTAATAAGTGCTTATATTGATATGACAGTTTTATAATTGAAGCCTATGATATGATTAGAGGCTGCAGTTGGAGCTTAAGTTGGCTTCGATGGTTAAGTGCTTCGTATGAGAAGCGCAGGGGAGAGCCGATCCTAAAATTTATTCAGAATAAATTATTATTTTTTTTTTTAAACTAATAGGTTGGCTTTTTCTGCTTTTCTGCCTAAACTAAAACTTCTTGTACAATATTGTGCCTGAAACCAAGCATAACAGTTTCAAATGGAAGGAAAGTCGTTTAGAGAGCTTAAAATTGGATACAATTTTGATTTGTTTCTATGATTATTTGATCGGAAATTCGTTGGTTTTAACCATCAACCACTTCCTATATGCCATTCGGCTGATTTGTCTTCGAATGACTATTACCTTTTCAGAAAATTGCCTCTGCCAATTAAAGGATATCGAAGCTTTTGAAGCTCCTTGTTTGAAGTTGTTCATGATGGTACAGATCATAGTATTGAGTCGGAAATGATTAATTTGAATAATATAAGTTTATTTTGCTAAATTATAAATGATGTGTTCTGGTTTTATTTTGAGACACACCTTCTACATATATGTGCTTTTTTTAAAAGTAAGAAGCTAGACCATATGAATCATCCTCATGAATATTGATCCAATGTTCCGTATTGGAACATCTATACACATAAAAAAATCAGAACGCTATCGGTAATCTCAGAATCTTAGTCAATTAGCAAAGTCATCTGCATACGTTTGTATTTGAATTTCATCATTTATGTCGGGCGTGGGCGCCTCAATCTGGTGTGGGGCCAGAGATGACTGGTTCATTGGAGTTTGGTCCAAAATCGGTGCTAATTGGCAGGCAAAGCGAAAACAACAACGCATAAAATAATAAGCAAGCACATAAAATGTACACAGAACAAAAAACAAAAAAACTTAGCACTGATCGATCCCCCCTGCTCGCCCCTCTGGAAGTATTTCTTGTTGGTTGTTGCTGTTGCTGCCGTTACTCTCGTGTAATTTTAATGAGCCCGAATTATTAAATTTTACAATTTAATTAGCCGGCATTTTATTGTCTCCGCTTTATCTTTATCTCTCACTATAGTATATACATATGCGCGCAATGTCAATGCGGCAATTTACGAGACTCAAGATTAATCAAAAAAAAAAAAAGAAGAAAAAAAACTTGTCTCCACGAAACCCTCAACTCGAGGGCAATGGAGCGCAGAAACAGCTCTCGGTTTTACAATTCTAATTTTGACCGTAATTGTTATTGCAAATGCAATAATTTTGTAACGGTTATTACCAACCAGCGATTCTATAATTACGATCCACTGCGGCTTGACAATATCTACTAGAGATGATAGTCGGCGGGAGAGCTGAATTGTTTTTTCCCCTCTAGCAACAAAAAGTTAATTTAAAATGAAATAAATAATAATAATAAAAAATAATGAAAGAATAATATACACATATGTATTTAAATAATATAACATAACAAGATCTTTTGTTATGACATAATATTAACGCTCAATAACTGGTTTAAGATATTAGCTGCTTTAAAATATTGGGAGGAGTTTTTTTTTGTTAAATAAATACTATTCTCCAAATCGTAACAGCAATAAGTTATATTTGAATTTGTCGACCGATCCTGCCAACTGAAGACGCCTCCTCATCCTTTTTCTTTACTAATGTTGCCAACTCTCTTCGTGATTAATAGCAAAAAGGGGTTTCACAGTAAGATTTCCGGTAATGCCTATGCAATACTTTCAAATGGTAAGCCTATTTGTTGAAGCAATTTCATACACATTCAGGTACAGTGATAAAGGATCGAATACATTTTTATTTCTGCATTACAAATACCTTACTAAAGAACACTTAAGTATACTTTTTTAAAAGATTTCTATAAAAAAACATTTAGTTTCCAAGATTGAATATAATTTCTACATAAAAAAGACGATTTACATGTTTCTTTGTTGGCTCAACAAATAGTACATAGTTTCGAAAGCATACATACTTTATGATAGTCATGACGAATTTTTAAAGCTGTGAATCGATTGCACGACTTTAACTGTAAAAGTATATATACTTGTATTCGATGTGTTTATGTTTGGGAAACTTTCTTATATTTTGAGCTATTATATTTATTCCCATTTTCGATTGAAATTAAACTATTCGTAGTTTTCATTCTGTTGCGGTTTCTGAAAATTTGGTTTGCCTTCGCACAAGTGAAATCAAAAGAAATGCGGAAAATTGCAAACAAATATGGCAATATTTTAGCTCCTTTATCGAGCAGTACCCCATCATTGTAATCATTGTAATTTCACACCAAATCATAAACAAGTGTGATCTGATTTAAAGAAATTGTTGTAATTACCTCGACACGGCCCAGCACAATACCAGCGCCAATGGTTCCAATGCCAGCGAGCAGAAAGGGTATAGAGACTTGTATGAGTATCGTGGACCATTTCTCCTGTTTGATGCCCGGCCGATTCAATGCCAATTTCTCTTCGGAGCTCCCATTGATGCCAGCAATGCTTGAGGCATCCGTTTGCAGGCCACCAGGGCCACCGCTGCCACCTCCACCACCACCGCCCGCCGCACCAGGATCCGGTTCTGAGGATGCTATGGACGTCGTGATGATTGAGCTTAGTGAACCAGTTGTCGAATATGGTTGGCCGGACAATTTCTCATTGTCGGGGTCTGTCAAGAGACAAAGAAAGAGAGAGAGAGAGTGGAGAAAAAAGAGAGAGGGGGAAATGTGTGAAAAATAGGTAATAAATAAGGCGCCAGTCATTTAATAATTTTTGGGATAAATGCATGCATATATACACATATATTTACATAAGAGTGCATTTGTATATATATATATATGTGTGTGTGTGTGGTGTGTGTCTGGGATGTGCTGCTAAATTTAGCAAGATTATGCAATTAGCAAAGCAATTAATTAGTAAAACTATAAATCATGGGGTGTGTGTGTTGTGTGTGTGGTGTGCGCCGCCATTGTCGCCAGTCGGGCTAACAAAATTTTGCACTTTACTTCCAAATAAACTTTGTACGAATTTTTTATATACACATTTCAATATATTCATTTTTTCACCATCTCATAATTAGCATTATTATTTGAATCCAATGTGGCGGTCGTCTGGGCGGCTTAAACAAGTTTTTGTTTTTGTTTTTGTTCGAACTTTTCTTTCGCCGCTTCTAGATAAGTAGTCAGCAGACGTTCTCCATAAACAATATACAAATTAACCCATTAATGTCACAATTTATATTCTAATTTTATTCATCTTTCAAAAGCGATACATTAAAGTATGACGATAGCAACTGAGTTCTTTTTATTTTAGTAGTGCAATCGAAATAAAAATAAAATCAATTGTTTTATATCGATTTGAACTGTCAACTCAATATAGATGATTAGACGCAACATCAGATGAAGATTAGAAATGTAATGTTTGGATCGAAATTTAGATTTTGCAACACACGTGCTTTACTTTCAGTTATTGGCAATTGGTTTTTGTCTTTTCAAGTATATTATCTTTTTTTTTAATAAAGATTAAAAGCTATTTTGAGAGAAACAAAAAGTCATATACAGAGCTTTCACTGTACTCGAAATTTGAAGAGACTAATAATTGGAAGCAATGGATATAAAAAAGAAAATAAACAAAAAACACCCTCTCAAGAAGATTATGCCAAGCAATTGTCTTTAGACGATGGGTATAAAGATATGTACATATAATGGCAGACACGACTACAACCATGCATTAATTAATAAACATTTTATATGTTTATCTTATAATAGAGTAGTGACACGAGACAAACAAACAAATGGAGACACTCAAATGGCAACATTTAAAAGCACACACAAAAAAAAATTAAACAAATAAAAGAACAAAATCCCATATTAGTCGGTCCAGGTGCAATTAAGGAACTCAAGCGAGCGTCTGGCATGATTCAATTCTGTGCTATTTTCGAACACTCATGAGGCATTATTTGACAAGTATTTGAAGCTTTATTTACTTTTGTATTTGGCGTGCTCGCTGTTTGGCAACAGAATAAAAAATTTAAGTGTGTGTGGGCAATGGTAAAAGTTTCAATGCACGAGCACGAGAATCTGTCGATTCGAATTATTCGCCCCAATTTCCTGTCAAGTATGAATTCTTGATGTTAATAGGAATTCTACTTTTGAGAGCGGTTGTTGCAGTCCATTGCAGAGATCACTCTTCTTCAGCACCATATATCTGGGATTAAGCAGTTATCATGGATATTACATATATTTCTTTGGAGAAGAAGAAATGGAAAGAACTCAACTATAATATGTTGGTCAAACTGATTGGGCTTATTGGAAATGTAGAATTCCCCGCCGAAATAAAGGTCTAGTGTGAATTGTTCATAGGTCGATTTAATTTTCTGATATCTGGGATTAAGCAGTTATCATGGATTTTAAATATATTTCTTTGGAGAAAAAGGAATGGAAAACGCCAAAATAAAGGTCTAGTGTGAATTGTTCATAGGTCGATTCAATTTTCTGATATCTGGGATGAAGAGTTATTATGGATTTTAAATATTTTTTTTTTTTTGAGGAAAAGGAATGGAAAGAACTCAACTATAATATGTTGGTCACACTGATTGGGCTTATTGGAAATGTAGAATTCCCCGCCGAAATAAAGGTCTAAATTGTGAATTGTTCATAGGTCGATTCAATTTTCTGATATCTGGGATGAACAGTTATCATGGATTTTAAATATATTTCTTTGGAGAAAAAGGAACGGAAAGAACTCAATTATAATATGTTGGTCACACTGATTGAGCTTATTGGAAATGTAGAATTCCCCCTACTGTGAATTGTTGATAGGTCGATACAATTGTTTGATATCTGGGATTAAGCAGTTATCATGGATTTAATATCCATATATTTTTTGAAGAAAAAGGAAAGGAAAAAAATGGGCGAATTTCCATCTGTTAAGCGTCCCATTTCTGGACAGATGACAAAAAAGTGGGTCACATACGATAACGTTCTGCGTAAACAATCGCAATCAGAGCTCGGTGAAGCAACTCCAACGATGTCCAGGCCAGGACTAACAGTTGGGAAGATTTTTCTGTGCAGTTGGGGGATCCTTGATCTGAATTCGGACCTCCACTGTCAACATTTAAGCAATTTTTAGCTAGAGATTGGAAATAAATGACCAGAATCGGAGATGCTGGAGACGTGTTGCGCTGTTCCAATGCACCTACCGTATAGTTCAGATCTGGTGCCGGATCTGCATTCATAGGAAAATTTATTCACGAAAATCTATTGGTCGACCTTATCTGCAGCAAGGAACAGAATTATAAGCTATACTCAAAAGAGCAAAAAGTCATTGAAAGAAATATAATATTTGAAAATATGCTAAGAAAAATACATTAATTTTTCCCCCCAACCTAATTTATACATCAATAATGTAAATATAAATGGTGCTGTGGTGCCTAAGAATCGTGCCTTGATATTTGTGTTCATATGGAATATGTAAAAACTTGGAAGTATGTGTATAGTATAGTATGTGTGTGGATAAGAAATTTGATTTCAATCGCCTTCTGTTTCCCACTTAAAAAATTATTGAAAGCAGTGCATAGGTATTGAGAAATGGAAAAAGTTTGTCTTGCATGCATTATGTGTGTGTATAGTATAAGTATAAAGCAAGGAATATGAAAAATGATCAATATAGTAATAATGTGACAGTAATCCTGAGGCAAGGGAACCTAACATATGGAGAACTAAACGATGTTGAAGGCATAATACAATTATGAATATCGAAGGATATAGCCACATAATTAAATAGCTCTTAGAAATTGACTTGATATTGAAGTGACTTCGCAAGAGAAGCGCAGAGGAGGGCTGTGTTTTAAAAATTGTTGCCCAAAATGACTTCGCTTAAGTGCTTCGTATGAGAAGCGTAGAGGAGGGCAGTGTTCTTAATTTAATATTATAGAGTCGCCTATATTAGTTTATTATATGAAAAAGGTAAGGTAACGAGGCAACGCTGTGGCTAATTAAGGGCTGTAACTTCAAATAATAAGCTCCTGAGTATCAAATCATATATTTAAGCAGCTCTTATCTTGAAATTTGAGACGATTTCTTCTATTGGTACTTAAGCATAGAAATATGTACCATTTGTAACATATAGTAATAAATCTAGTAATTCGAATGGGAACATCTTGATTTCTGACACTTTCCTTACCTTTAAATCACACTTTGTGCCTTCAAAGAAACAAAAAAAATATGACTGCCCTGGCATACAATACTTATAAGTACATTCCACTCGAAAATCTATAGAAACTTTTCATTATGTACGAGTATACCTATGTATATATCCACAGATGTATCGGTTGTAATTACCTTACGCAACACAAGCATATAGTACCTGTATGTTTGTGTTCCCAATGCCAGCTGCCAACTGTACGATAATTGTTGAATGTACGGCGGAGTACTACGAGTACTTAGGTATACCCAAAAGTATCAGTATTCTGTACTTTTGTACTATTGTATATATATTTCTTTCGGGACCACTCACCGTTTCCGTCGTAAATAGTAAACAATTTGTATTTATCATCCGAAGAAGCAACATCATCTAATGGTGTTGTTGTTGTCAAGGTGGACACTTGTTGTTGGTATGAGGGTGTTATTGTCGTGTTGCTATTCTTGTTATTTGTATTACTATTATTGTTGTTGTTGTAGTTGCTGATATTGATAGTTGTTGGTGTTGGTGTTTGTGTTGATGGTGGTAGTGTATTACGATATTGTCCATGAGGCACCCCATTGTTGCTCGTGTAGGATGTTGAAGTTTTTGAAGAATCTACGCTTCTCAGATCGGATGGCAGACGTCGCACATTGAGCGGAGAGAGTGAGCTGTTGTTGTTGTTGTTGGTATTTGTTCGCAACTTCATCTGGTTTGGTATGTCGATTGCATCCTGAGCAGTTGTTGCTGTGCTCGCGGTTGTGACTGTCGTCGGGTTAGTGGATAGTGGTGGTGTTGGTGTTGGGAGGGGGGAACTCGCATTGGTTGTGTTTATGGATGTTAGTGTAGGAATGGATATGGTTGTTGCTGTTGTTGTTGTTGTTGTTGTTGGTGGTGGTACTGGGAATGTTGTATTCTGTTGTTGCATGTTCGATTCGTTTGGCGGCGACATTTTTGCATTTGTTACCGTGGTGTGTGGTTTGTGGTATGTGTTGTATGTTGTGGTTGATTGTTGTGTTTTATATTGCTTGCTGAGTATTTATAATTATTGTTTAATTGAACAACATAAATTCATAAACTGAAGCATAAGAAAACACGCATATACGCATATACCTTCTCTATATATATTTGTGTATATTAAACTAATTGAACTTGCTGTTTTTTTGTTTTTTTTTGTTTTTGTTTTGTTTAGTTATGCTTTAATTTCTTTTGTTTTTCTTTGCTTGCCTCGCGTGGTGCGCACTAAACTTGCAGGCGGCTATACGAACATAAATCAAGTGCAATTGGTTGTTATTGGAATAATATTTGGTTTTTTCATAATTTGCCACAAGGAGAGAGCAAATCGTTGCCAGTAGAGTTGCACTATTGTTTTCGTTTTCTTTTTGTTTTAAAGGAATAAATATTATAATTAACTAGAAATAAACGCACGAGAGAAACAATAAAACAAAAACAATAATTGGAAATATCACACAATTTGTTGATGTTATTGTAGAATTAGAAAACTATGCTCATAAATAAATAAGTTTAAAGCGTAATACAAATGTTATGGAAAATATTGACTCAAATGCGAGTTTTGTAAAACTTTTACACCTTTTTTTTGTAATATTATTAACTTTTTGTAGTTTGTTTTTTTTTTGTTTTTGTTTTGCTTTGGAATGTATTAAAATAAAAGAATTGAAAAAAATTGAAAAAGACAAAACGTTTCGTTTACATTTTTAATACGTGAGGTGTTGTTTGTTTGTGTGTGTGTGTGGGTGTGTGTCTGTGTCTGTGTGTGTGTGTGTGTGTGTGTCGTACGTCGGCGTCGTCGTCGTCGTCCTTGTGCGCTGAGTTCGCCGTCCAGTTCGTCGGTGTCGCGTCTTTGCTTGCGTTCGTCGTGTCTTTGGAGGAGGAAGGGCAGGAGTGCAGCTTAGTCACCGGACCGTTGATATGGCTGCAAACAACAACAACGAATGATGGACGTTGTAGTTTCTTTTTTCTTTTGTTTGTTTATTCATTGTAAGTATTTGTACAATTGTTGTATATATTGTTTAGAATGGATTAAAATAAACAAATAAAAGATAGGCATTTACTAAAAATAAACGCGACAGAAATCAATGGAAGGCAACAACCTTTGGTATTTAAAAAACAAATTCAATTCTGGATATGAATAAAAAATATACATATACGTACTTATATATAATACTTAATATATAAAGATCGCAGAGCTTGGTGTGTTTGTTATATGTGCATATAAATCAGTCAAAAATATATATATTCAATATATCACAAACATTGCAGTTGATAAGAAATGCAAGTGTTCCGGATATTGTTTTCAAAGTTTCATATGGCGACCCCACTTTAATAATGTTTTAATACCTTATATTCGACAGCTTAAAGAGTTGATGAGAAATTCTAAGCGCGAAATATACGTAACAGGTCCCAGGTCAGCACGATGAGCAAAATTGATATACACACGTTCGTCTGTATGAACATTAAGAACTTTTCCACTATAACACATAGGAATACACAAACTTGTTTACAAGCTACATATAGTCTTATTACTTTATATGTTTATATTTAAAATAATATAAATGAAAACTCTTGCTACTAAAAACCATTCTATTTATTTTCGTATCGCAACCAAATTTGATGAGAAAGAACAAGGCGCTCTTCCTTAACTCTACAGCTTCTACAGAAATCTTAAGATGGGATGCCAAGCTAGCCGAAGGGCAAATTATATTCCCCCACCGGGTCAGTGGCGTTAATTAGATATTATTGTAATTTGATTAGATTTCTCCTTCTCAGGCTTATCTAGCTTATAAGATGCTTTTTATAATTTTTATATATTTCCTAAGTCGACAGTCAATGTTTGCTGACATAAATAAATAAATACTTGTAAAATAATAGAAAATAAGTCTGGCAGCGTATCTAGCTAAAGGATGGTGGTTCCCCACCACTGTGGAAAATTCAACCCTTTTTCTGTTTTTATAAACAAGTTTTATTTTTCCTTTGCCTGTGTGTGGTTGCGGTTCAAAAGCCTAAAGGAGACACGGGCCAATACCAATACCCTTTCCCTCGCCAGGTCATCATTAGTGCAGTTTTTAGCAGGTAGTAAAGATTACTCATTAAATAGACGTTAATAAAAAAGGTTGACCATCAGGAGTGCAACATTTTTTTTTCAAATTTTCAGACCCCATTTCTTGCAGTTACCATATGTTTTGAAAAATCATTTGTACAGCACTTCCTTGGTTGCTCGAGAACATATTTAATTGCTTTTCAATTTGAATATTTTAAAGGTAATATCAATATTTGGGCATTTGTTTTTATCAGCATTTATTGGAAGCGCTAATCTGTGTGTATTTAACCGGATTTTAAGGTTAAGAACCTGCTGATCACACACATCCCCACACACACACACTCACACACACACACTGCTAAGTTTTGCTTCACTCTACTGGCACCGTGGCCGATGATGTTGTTGCTGCCTTTGCCGTGCCGGGCACGCGGCATACTGATGCCCACAACAACAACAAAAACAACAGCAGTGAATTACAATAACAAGCACGATGCTGCCGCCTGTTTCTGTTACCGTTTTGTTGTTTCTTGTTTTTGGTTTTTATTATTTTTTTTTTTGCCAGCACTCGCATTTGATTTCGATTTTTCAAATGTTAACTGGTTTTAATGTCTCTTTCCGCTGCTCGCTGCTTGTTGTCTGCTTTGATTTTCATTTAGTCTCACTCGAATTTGATTATGAATTTTGTATTTTTGCAGCATCAGGGAGCAAGTTTGGACACTTGCACTTCAGCCCACACACACACACACGCACACACACACAAATTTTTGTGTTTTTTTTTTTTTTAATGACAACAAACGACTAAAGTGTTGAACGCAACAGTAAAAACCATTTTAGTGAACGGTCCCACAAATAACACAAGAAGGATTTTACTTTCCAAAGCCAATTTTTGTAAGTGTATAAAAGAAGTTTGTGTGCAAATTATTTGCAAAGATTCCTTTATGTGAGTAGGGGTTCCTGTGCAACACTTATTTAATAAGGGAAAGTGCCTGTGTTATTTATTTAAGTTTGATTATTCAGCTAGTTTTGTGCTTTCACCTCAAAATGTACATAATTCCAATACAGTTTCGAAATGTATTTAAATAAGTTATACCACAGTTTTGGTTAAAGGCATTTACTTCTTCATTGCTTGCATATGCTTACGAAGACTGGCAGATTTGATTAAAATCAAAGATCTACATTTTTCAACTTTGAAAACGACTTGAATCAAATAAATTGTGGTTTAACTACCCAGTTAAGGTCGACTTAGTGCGATTTTACTGTACAAGCACACACACACTTAACCAGTTTTGGCAGTGGCATGCGCCATGGAATGTGTGCTAAAGCTTCTTATTGGCAGCAGCCAAAGAAACAAAAAATCGAACAGAGTGAAAAAGTTGCAGTTGACGACATTTCGGCGACATTTTCAAGTTTACAACACGCATCGAGAGGAATTTTTATGGCGACTTTTCACAACAGCATCGATAAGGTCTTGAGGTGTTTTCATCCACAGCAGCAGCAACAACAATAACAGAAGCGGTAGCCGAAATTCAAAATTCATTCAACTTCAATATAAAATCAAAGTGAGCGCAACACTTGGCGTATACGTAACATGCTGATAATCTTTAGAACGCGTGGCTAAATCTTCAGAGACACTTGAACTAAGTATATGTATATGTGGACTCCGCATCGCATACAACATTTGTGAAAAAGCTATCAAGCAGGCAATAAAAACTCAATCACTCAGTCAATCAAGCAGCTTGCGATTCCAATTCAATTTAACTGATAATGAAAAACTCAATGCCAAGTTTAATGCAATTTTATCGGCCAAATCAAAGGCTATAGCTGCACATGGACACATAACCACTTCAGTCTTAACTTAGACATGTTGCAGTTGTTGCTAACATTGTTGTTGTTGGTGTCGTAGCTGCTGTTGTTGACCAACAAAGGCCACATATTGAATTTTGAGCAGCTTGCCAACACAGTTTTTCCACATGACGATAAGATTAAAAGTTGTGGCTAAATAAACAACAACAACAGCAACAATAACATCACCTCAAACAAGTAATTGAAATGTGTTGATTTATATGGTTGTGTGGGTGTGTGTGTGTGTGTGTGTGTCACAACAAAAATAGCTTTAAGCAAGCCAAACTTATGCGCAATCTCTTGGAAAAAAATACGCATTACGTATACGCCACATTGCAGCATGAAGCATTTTGACGATTAAGTTAGTTTGCCTGTGTCCCCCATAGAGGATCAGACTTAAAAAATAAACGAGTATTTGTTGCGGAAGAAGTTCAGCTGGCATTCAGTTGGAATTATAGAAATCAAGGAATTAACTTACAAATTAAAAAATAATTAAATTCACAAACCAATAACTAGTATGAAAAAAATAGCTCTTTTGTTGTTTCAGGCTTGCTTACCAAATTCAACATTTGAATATTTTTTTAAAAATATATTTATAGTTGATATAAAAAAATGGTAAGCCCATTTAATTTTGCGAGCAAAATTACATTTGTTTGTCGAATTATTTTCATTTGAATGCTTAATTATCAAAAAGAATATTAAGAAATATATTAGGTGTTTGTTCTTCCAACTGGTTAATTGCTTGCCTTTTTTTTTATTACTTAAATATTTAAGCTCATTAATTGCCAGATTAGCGCAAGTATTACAATGCGATAAATTGCAAGATTTACGGTTTCAAATATGTTTTATAAATAACTGAAAAATCCCATCGCAAATGAGGTCAACAAATTGACAGTGCGGCTTAAAACAGTTTTAAGGTAAGAAAAACATTGGATTAATGTTCCCACAAAAAGTGCAGTTCCATAGTTAAGGGTGTTTTTTAAAGGTATATGAAATTCCAAACACATTTATTTGAAAGTCAAATGTAAAACATTAATTACATAACTTTAGTTTGTACTAAGCTGATCCACTTAATCGGCGACTTATTTAAGTATTCCTAATGTTTAGTTCCAGTTAATTATTCTCAAAAGCCATTGACTTAATTTTTATGACTAAAATCGGTTTTGTTGTTTAACAGCGAATGTTGCTAATGTAGAGAAAGAGATATTCGGGTTCTATAACAATTTCTATTCTATGATTTGATAGTTCAATTTGTATCGTAAATTCCCCCTTACGGATTTACCCATACGAGTGCATGTAAATCGATCTATTTGGAGTAAGAAGTCGACTCATTGATTGCCCTAAAAGATGTGAATTATTTTTTCTGGTAATAAGGATATTTTATATAATAAGATACGGCAAACAATACATATTTTGCATACGAAAGAAAGTCCTTTAGATCTTTAATAGTAAGTATACATATGTAGCAGCAGTTACTAAATATTTATATATTTACAGTGGAGGTGCAAATTGGACTGCACTGCACTTTTTATGCAAAGGAACTAAATTAAATTCTCCCCAAAAAGGTTGGATAAGGGAGCCAGAA